GTGCAAAAGTAGATGTTATTTATAGCAGTCACATGTACAAAATTTCAACGCTCTATGTTTAACTGTTTTTGAGTTATGCGAGATACATACATGTGTATGTACGTACGTACAAGACGTCACGAAAAAAATTCATTTTTAAATCCATTTTACAATCCGTTTTGGAAGAAAAAAAAAGAGTATATGACACCTAAAATTTTTCCTGATATTTCTTTACTCCTTGCAAAGAAGTAAAAAGGGTGATTTTGATATCCAATGCGGTGCAATGTCACAAAAGGTATTTAAACAAGAACGCTTTATCTGTTTTTAAATCAATTGCACATCGAATCGTCTTCTGGTTTTTGAAAAGAAGCAGTATTTCTGAAAAAAAAACAAAAAAAAAAAAAAAAAAAAAAAAAAAAAAAAAAAAATAAAAAAAAAAAAAAAATTAAAAAAAAAAAAAATAAATATAACGTCAGTAACTTTATTTCATCACTTCCACAGGAGACCAGAAACAGTACCCCTTACAAAATTTTGGAATCATGCATGGTCGCTTTAGAGAGCATTCACTATACGTGCAGACAGTGATCAGCTTTTGAATCTAACATGATCACCTCTAAAAGGGGCAAGTACTTATGACAGCATAAATAAATATCGGTATTGAATAAAACCTCTCTATGGCTCACCGCTCCCAGAAGGAGGTCGTATTAGAGAATGATGTTCTAGGCCGGCGTTTATTTATGGTGTCAAAAATACTGATATGTATGTGTATCTCTCTCTACATGTCTTACTGTGTGTATACACACACACAAATTCAAATTAAATTTAGAGCAAAGTAAAATAATTTATCACATTCAGTTTGATAAAAACGAAAAATGGTACATAAAATAAGGCAAAAACCATTGCATAAAATATCTGTAAAAATAATAATAAATATTAATGTATTAAAGAATAAACATTAATAAAAATATTAATGTTATTAAGTTATTATTGAATATTAATGAATTAATATGAATATTATTATAATTAATTTGATACTACGAGGGTTGGGGCAAAAGTCATGGCAACTATTTTTTTCTTGTAGATATGTGAACGGATCACAAAACGTATATGTGTCGTGTGGAAGTTCTGCAGGCATAGTGTGTATGCAGAAAAACAAATGGCTCTATGATAGCTGGCTCTGTGGTAGCGAGAGCTCTGAAATGAGTCAGTTGGTGAGTGTCCTGCGAGATGGAAGTAATCCGTGTTGAGCAGCACGCTTACATCGAAATAGTCGTTCTCCGAGGGAGAAATGCGATGAATGTCACAGTGAATTAGTAGAAGCCCTTGGGAATAATGTCCTACCATATCGTACATTCATATCGTCCTACCATCTACCTATCGTGGTCTGATTATCGATATTAAAGATCTTTTCCAAACACTATCCTTATTCCTTTAATATTAAGTTTGGTTGGGTTAAAGCCCATATCGGAATATACGGTAATGAGAGAGCGGATGTGCTCGCAAAAGAGGCTGCCATAGGAAGTGTTTCGGGGACGCCTTATTCAGGACGCCTTATGTTCAGGGTTAAAAAAAATAGCAACTAAAGTTATTTATTCGTTTTATTTTAAGCAATGGAGTTAAAATGGAATTCTTCTGAAAGGAAAGTCGCTAACAGAAACATTTAGAACTGATTAGGAAGAACAAAATTATCTTTAATGATTTTGAAGTTAACCAGTTTCTGACCGGATATGGGCGTTTCCCGGGATACTTCGCCAGGTTTAAGATACAGAACGACGATAAATGTAAACTATGTGATCTGTTTGGTGATGCTAAGCATTTCCTCGAGGTCTGTCCCTACTTTGATGGCTTAAGAAAAAATAAAAATATTAATTTTGAAAATCCCTTTTTATGCTATAAAGATTTCGCATAATTATGTAAATCTGTGATGAAATTTATTGGCGGTGAGCGTCAATAGTGTAGTGGAATAGTGGGAATCAGTGTACGATATTTGCATATTGCCATTACTATTTGGTATATTTTAATAATTTGTTGTCACCATTGTTTGTATGTATTGTTTGTGTTTGTTATTCGCTTTTTTTTTGTTTTTGTCTTTAGTGTCTGCTCTTGTCTAAATGTTTGTATTTGTTTCTTTTCTTCACTTTTATGCTTATAATTATTATTTACACATGATTATCCTTATTTAGATATTTTATGTTTCATTTTTTTTTCATTTGTTGAAATGGGCATGGCCTGTCATGACCATAAGACCAACTTATTTGGTTAGGCGGGTCAGGCTGCGCCCGCTACTGATACTGATACTGATACCATATTGTACAGTAGCACGGTGGGTAGGAAAGTTTCAGCAAGGACGTGTGTCAACCAGTGATGAGCAACGTTCGAGACGACTGGTGAGTCTGCGGACCGACTTGGCACGTGCTGTCATCGAGCACCTGATGGATGAAGACAGACGATGGACGTTGCTGGAGTTAGAGAAGGCAAGTGGCATCGACAAACACACTGTCCACAGGATATTACGTAATGAGCTACAGCTACGCAAAGTAGTTTCGCGGTGGGTACCGCATGCACTGACGTGAAGTGAAGTTAAAAGGTGGGTGGGCTATGCAATATGCTCCGACCACTTTGCACGCTGGCAACAGGACGGCGATCAATTCTTGTCAAGAATAATCGCCATCGATGAATTTTGGGCCAGGGCATACGAACCATAACTGAAACGTCAACGCGGAGTGGCGACATCTTGGATCACCAAGGCAGCAGCAGGTCAGTCAAAATCCTTCCCCAGTCAAATTGGTGATCGTCGCGTATGACGTCAGGGGTGTAATTGTTTGCCACTTTGTTCCTCATGGCAAAACAGTGACCGCACAGTACTACAGGGACTTCCTGGTGCGACAGGTACGATGTGGCGTTCGGGATAAAAGTCCGGATCTTATGGACGGGGATGGGAAGAATTGGAGCACCCACAATACTCTCCTGACCTTTCGCCCGTAACTTTGATCTCATTCCCAAGATTAAGGAACCAATACGTGGTAGGCGGTTTGCAACACGAGAGCACATTGCTAATGCTGTGCACCAACATATGACCTGATTCACACATGGTGAGGCAAATGCTGAGACTGATGGTATTCAGCGCCTCCAACATCGTTGGCAGCGTGTGATGACAGTAGCAGGAGACTACATTGAGGGTCTTTAGGCCCAAGTTTGTCATGTCAATTTTATGTGTATTGTTTCATCATTCTTTTGCACGGTGAAGGCCATATTACCCTGTATACTACCATAATAAATTCGTGTGTTACGATATTTCAGTGCTATTCATTGTCCACACATGTAGTTAAGACCTTGTCCTTTCGTCTGTAAATGTCACATTTTACAACCAGACTGGTATCTTCAAGGAAAAAATAGTTGCCATGACTTTTGCCCCAACCTACGTATATTGATATCATTAATTATATTAACTAATTAATTAATTTGATATCATTATTTATATTAACTAATTAATTTATTAATTTGATTATATATATATACACACACACATATATATATTTAGTGGCCCATCTAACGGCAAACGTTTCCCTAAGAAGACCCCTCTAAAAGTGACCAGGATTTCCATGAATATAAAGTATTTATGTACAATGTGTATTTCTGACCAACGTATACAAAGCAAATTTTATTATTCATTATACACACACACACACACACACACACATACTATATAAGTATCGATATATATAAGTATCAATATAAACATATATAAGTATCAATATATATATATATATATATATAATATATAGAATATAGTAGGTCGGAACATATATAAAAAGTACCAGGAGCTATACGAGTAACATCGTATAGACAATAAGAAATTGCCTTTTGGAAGAAAAACTAAAGCGCGATAAAATTGCCAAATTTTAGGGGAAGATAAACTGAAAATGAAATTTCTTTTTCAATATATATATATATAAGTATCATATGTATAAAAGTATCGATTATTGTTTTGGATAAAAAATTAGGGAAGATAAACTGAAAATGAGCATATGCATTGAACCATCTGTAAAGACCACATACAGATCAAACTGGATCACCTTAAAGAGGTCCTATTCAATGCTGATGCTTATTTATGTTCTCAGGAATGCCAGTATTTTCAGAAGTGGTCGTCTTAGAGATGTGGTCGTGAAGAGAGGGATTCCGTATGTTTCTAACTTTCTAATTTTTATTCATACGAAACTGAGAAAACCTCAATATGAGCCGTAACAAAAAGACAAATAAGTAAAATTAAAAAAGTAAAATGAATAAATATAAAAAGTGAGTAAACAACGTTAAAACCAATGAATTTTCTTTTTCTTACACAGTTTTTACAGTTTTATTGGGTTCTATAGAGCAATTTTAGAAGCTATGTGCTATGTCCGTTTTAGCAATAACGTATAGACATGAATTTCGAACGTTTTGGTAGAAGGTTGTATGAACGTTCTTTGTAAGGAGAATGACAGTAACAGCGATATTGGAAGTTCTAGGGCTGTAATATATAGACGTGATTCGAAACGTCTCACCTGGAAATTCCGGACATGTTGGCGAAACACCTGCATTGAACCTTTTTCTGAACATTCTAGTTAGGTGAGGCTGCTAATTAGGTTGTAACCATGCAGGTTTCAAAATTATTAAAAAATATCTTTTTCTTAATAGAAAATTAAAATTCTTAATTTCTGGTAAAGTATTTGAAGCAAAAAAAGGTATTTTTGAGTTTAGGATTTTTCTCAGATGTTCTAAATATATGTTTGCAATTTTCACCTGTTCTCTGACGACAGCAGCATTCAACACGAAAATACAGCTGGAAAAACAATGAGAATACCCGAAATACAGCTGCAAAATTAGTTAATTTCACATTCAGGTTTTAAATTTGTAACAGTTGCCCACATAAAATACTTCATCTTGCATACTTGAAAGACTGATGGTCCAAAATGATTTGGTAAGCTAGAATTTCCAAATTCCATTTTATTTTTCCCGCAAAAAAAATCAGTCAAATGTTGTTGGGGGACGATTAACTTCAATGAGTCAAGTGTTTTTCTTGTTAAAACTTAGAATATTATACTCAATTTTGTGAAAAGAATAATGGTGTATAGCCAAATTCATTTCATTCTATAAGTTGTGTTTATTAAGTTTGCGTGTGTCCATGTTAGCTGTTATGGTGTTGGCTTTAGAATAATGATCGTAAATTGTAATATTATTGACTTTAAGAATGGTGAAAACTATATTTTATTTAAAATAATTGTAATGGTATATGCAAATGTTGATTCATAAGCAGAGCAAGTAATTTAACACCGAAGCTTAATTTGGTGGTGTATTCAGTTTCATCCGTAAAATAACTGCATAATCTTAGTAAACATACCCCTTTAGAAGTAAACAGTTTTAATATTTCAAAAGTAAAATTCATTTAAATTTTGACATATTTCTAAGAATTCATTATTTCTAAGAATAGGTGGCATAATTAATATTACTATTAAATATATAAATTTCAGTTTCATTGTTTTAGTTTAACTGCTTACTTAAATTCTTTACAACATATTAAATATAATTTATGTAACACAGAACAAGGTTTCAAAAATATTTGTATAACTTATTTAAAAAACTATTTCTCACAAATCGTTCACAAACAGTGAAATTACTAGGACATAATGTAACGAAATATAATTTGAAGCTGAAGAATCATGAAAGAATTAATGATTTGAATTTGCTTGGGATCACTTCAGTTTAGTTAAATCTGATTTACCTCATGCATAACGCAAAACAGAACAATTTCCCCCAAGAAATCCTTTCTTTATAATGGTATTTTTTTCCTTTAGTAATAGTGAATATATTTTCAGGATGCTCTACTATCTCAAGGTTATTTGATAATTCACAAATTAACAGCATTTTATTTCTCCATATCCCTGTCCAAACGCCTTTGAGATTCTGGGGAAAAAAAAAAAAAATGTTTAACTAAAAAGTGATCTATTTTAAAAAGAGTAAAAAATCAGTGAAAGTCATGCTAAATTAAATATATAATATATATATATAGTGTTATCTTTCTATTGCTTTATTATTTGAACCTTTAAATACATTTATTAAAACATCTGATGTGTACACCACATGACTTCCTTGTACGGAATATTAAATTATACGCATTTTTTCTTGCATTTCATTTAAACTTATTGGATTGAAATTAAATCTACTTCGCCGACAGCGCATAAACCACAATAGAATAAATACACTTCTTTAAAATTCACTCTAGTATTTGTTTACCATAGCGACAGTCTGGCGCTAGATTCACTTAACAGTATTACTAATTATATAACAGTTTAACTTATATAATAATTATATAACGGAAACTAAGTTAACTGTTATATAATTATTGGATTATATAACAGTTAACTAGTTTCCGTTATATAATTATTCATATTATAACTCATAATGCACTCAAACTTTATATCAGTTGTTAAAGAATAGAATTATCTAATCGTTGCCACATGTTCTATTCAAATACTATAATAAAACTAGAATGATGTATAAAAGAAATTAAGCAAACAAAACAAAAAAGAAACAGTTTTTCACAGATGATTGAGTATTTCTCATTTAATTAATTCAGTTCTCACTTAATTAATGAATAATTCTAATGCGAGAAGGCAAAAATACATAAAAACTCAAAATACCTATATTCAAAATTACGAAGTAAATCTTAAACACTTATTTCCTCGAAAAAATTCCAGAAAGAATTAAGAATGATTAAGCATGATTAATTGGCAATAATAAATGAAGGCGTTATCTTTGTTGTTGCGAAGCTAAGTTTCTCTAGATTGGCAAAACAATCCACTAGTCTCCTGTTCAAATGTAAACAATCAATGGCCGCCATAAAAAAAGGCTTAGCGGCACTTAAACAACTTTAAAATTGTTGATAATTCTAAAAATATTGCATACAGATTTACTAAAGGCATAAAAAAAACCTTAACCGGAAGATAAAAAACAACATAATACAATCATTTTAAAAGCAAAAAATGTACAATTTACAAACATATAAAGAGTAAAGAAATGAGATCACTGAGCCGGGTAACAGAGTGGATATATATATAAATATATTTATATACGTTTGATGAGGCCGATTGCAACCAAAATACGAGGTGCACATCTACATGTTATAGCAGTCCTATATACAAAATTTCAACGTTCTGAGGCTACTCGTTTTTGAGTTATGTGAGATACGTACGTACATACGTTCGTACAGACGCCACGAAAAATTATCTTCAGAATTAATTTTAAAGCAGTTTTATAACTTTTTTGAAGGAAAAAGAGTATTTTATTCTGTCATTACGTACAGATATCACGCAAAAACATCGTTAAATTGCATTCGATAGCGGTCAAAATGGATATTTTCGTTGAAATATGCTGCCTGAAACTTTTCGCGATTACAATACTTCCTTTTTACTTCGTACAAGGAAGTAAAAATGTGCAGCAAACTCCAACTAACCGCGCTCTAGCTATTCATCTTTAAATATATAAGCGGCTAAAGTGTGTGTCGCCGATAGTTTATTGTTGCCATTCGGAAAAATGAGCGCAGAAATCAACGTTTCCGCAGTTTTTAATTAAGATCTCGGCCGATTAAAGTCGTACGCAGATGAGAGCGGTATCGATGGATTCGGAGAATTTTTTGGAATCCGAGGATACGCGTCTCGAATTTCAACTCGGCGCCGTTCCGTAGATATTCGAGAAAAAAGAATTTGGCACGTAGACAAATCCCTCAAACAGGGAAAACAGAAGAAAGAATGTGGAGAATGTAGAGAAAACGTAGGGGAAAATTAGTTTTTAATTAATAGCTCGGCTAATTAAAGTCCCAAGAAGACGCGAATGGTCAAAATGGCGTGCCACGGACCTGCGGAATCCAACGAGGTGTGCTTCGCTAAGCCCGGGAGCCAGCCGTTTCGGAGGAGGATAATGTTACTTCACCCCATATATATATATGCGGCTTAAGTGGCTGTTTGTCCCCGATAGTTTATTGGTTGCTTGCGTAATTGTACTAGCCAATGGGGTGAAGTTACCACGGCACAGGGTTGCCGTATCAATTGAGACGTTGATAATTTCCTGTAAAACTTGCCTTTGCTATGACCGTCCATAAGTCTCAAAGCGAAACGCTTAAGCGTGTTGGCATTTTTTTAACTGAGCCTGCATTTGAAGACGGTCAATTTTATGTTGCCTGTTCAAGAGTTCGTGCAAGAACGGATGTAAAATTAAAAATAAGGGATAGTCCTCTGCAAGGCGAGCTTAAAAATGATGGAAAGATCTACACAAGAAATGTTGTGTACAAAGAGATCTTTGACATGTGAATGAAAATTTCATTATTTAAATCACCTTTATTGATTGAGCTAGCGGTGGCTCTTAAGAAATGTTTCGCCAGTGGTTTCCTTCATTGCACTCTACTTTAAGCAATTAAGCAAGTAGAAGGGGGAAACCCCGTGGGGCAGTAAACATAGAGGTGTCCTCGCGCCTACACTGGGTAATTCAGTTTAAATTAGTAGACACCTTTGCACAAATAATTTTAATTACAATTTATAATATCCAGAACAGCTGTCATTTCGTATGACCGCCGGCGTTCTAGTATGAATATATACGACATGCAGACTATCTATAATTTTAACAAATACAAAAAGATTGTCTCTTGTGTTTCGTTTTGCGGCATTGAAAATATTTCACTTTTTTAGCCATATAATATACGATAAATACGGTAAAATACAATAATAATAGTAAATGATGACGGGAAAGCAATCGCACACTGTACACTGGGCTATTTTCGCTGTTTCCTTCGAGGGTTCATTGTCACCTGGGTAATTTGATTACAAAGTTTTTTAAAAGATTCATCCATGTTACTTAAACTGATTAAAATTATTGCAATAAGTTAATTTGATTAAAATATGAAGGGCAATGTATAAATTATTGCAATTTGATGGGATACCTTTTATTTGAGGTAAAGCTTAACGCTTTTGACACGGTACTGCGCACTGGATTTAGGTCAATATTGAGGTGACACACAAACATAGTCAAAGTATGTGATCAAATGTTTGAAGAACATTTTCACAGTACTGGGGGACGTTATCGCTATGAAGTATTGTTCATCTGCTATGATACCTCTTCTGAAACATCTGCTAAATATGCCATTATTTGAAGCAGTTTTTTTCCCAATCTTACTCTCAAATTTGGCTCCAAATACTTCGCATCATAATGTTTGCTCTTGTATTGTACAAACTAACATAAATATGTACATATTGTACATGGTACAAATAGCTCTTCATGCATAGAATAATAGTACGAAAAAAAAGGCTTTTCACCAGAATAGATCCAAACGTCAAAGATATCTTGTAATTTATCACTTTGCGTCAATAAATAACAACTTAGTTGAATTTCGGTTGAACTGAAATAAGCTGTGCATTTTGTTTTACACTAAAATATTGTTTTTTTAATTTTTAGGCACCAAAAATAAAAATAAAACTGCGTAATTAATTTTAAAATAAACGAAAAAAAATTAAATTGATAGTTTTGTATAGCAGAAAAAAAAAAACTGAATGCCCGTTCAAGTAAATCAAATGCAATTGCAACTTCTAGTTTTATGGAAGTAACTGTTCTTTACATTTTGTTACTTTTCTAAGTGTAGATTCTTTGCTGGAAACCTTTGCATTTGTTATAACAAGTATGTATTTGAATTGAGGAGAAAACCAACCTTTTCCGCTCATACAGATAGCCAATGATCATTAATTTTCCAAATATTCAGAATAACTCTAGATTTGTTTTAAAATTATTTTAAAATTTTATTAAAACAATTTTTGACGTATATAAACATCCTGTTGATTTCACTGTCAAACTATCGTTTCTTCAGTGTCGAAATTGTAGGAAAAAGAGTTCGTTTTCTGTATTGACGTAGATTTTATGCAAAACAGTGCCTTTTCAGCATTTCTAAAATTCGTAGTTCTTCTTCCCGATACTTATAAATATTACTTGACTACGTTTTGGTATCGCCTTAAATGACTTCGATACGCAAAATCTGTGCCGAAGTGATCCTTCTAGTTAAAATAAAAACATAACTCATAGTCAGAAGTAATATTCATCGTCATAACATTTCAGTTATCTGACGACTTTAACAAAGCAGTTGTTGAAAAATAAAAGGCCTTTTCTACATACATTCTACATACATCTGTTTTACGTACATCTGTTCATAAACATTTTTACCATAAGTGTTAAATTATATTTTCAAACTCTCTTAGAGAGAGGATGTTTGAAACGTCTTTAGAAAGTGTATGTTTTCAAGGTTTTTAATTAAGACAACAATTTCGACGTTTATTAATTTATATTTTTGATTTCAGTTACATTCACATGCAACTTATAATAAAATTCCTGTTTTGTTAAAAGTAATGGTTAATCGTGTTGTGATGTCACTTCCTACCATGAATCACTCTTATAACCAGCATTAAACACACTGAACTTAATAAATATCACAAGTTAAAATTGAATTTCTGTATCGTCTGATATTTCATTTTAAATGATTGTCATTTTAAATGATAATTAATGTTAATTTCATTTTAAATGATCCTATTTCTCTATTGCATGAAGAAGAAGTTTTTTATTGCCTTTGAGCGAAAAACTTTTAGAGTTGGAAGACTTTAACCCCCTGACACACAAATAAAATACTCGTCGATGCGTCCGAAGAATACCATTTAATTTGCTCAACTGTGGACACTCAAGTGCAAGCTTAGAAATACAACGTTTTATTTTCATATTAAACACTGCTATTTATCATTCAATAAGGTTGATATACTATAATGTTAATGTACAATAATTAAATAATACTATAAAATAATAATTTAATAATTCTGTAAAGTATGATACATTTCAAAACATTTTGGAATATGTAGTGGAACTAGACATGTTTTACACTGCCAAGTTGCTTCACTTCTTATATTATGTATTATACACACATGACATCCCTTTGCAGGATGTTGCTTTTTATTTGTCGCTGGTATACGTTCAGGAAAATGTGCCTAACGGTTTGCTTGTAACCGAGTTGGGCATTCACTTTCAATGGTCTGCAGCGTGTCAGATACTTTGGACAAGTTACAGAGCATATCTTCTGCAATATTCTACGATTCTGCAATTTTTACGATTGTGCCCCACAACACAGGTCGGTTTCAACTCTGTTTCTAATTCGCTTCACTTCTTTTTATTTTCCCCGTATCAAACATTCAATGCTTTCGATTATAACTTCATAATTTGTTTATTTGTTGGTGAAAGTAGAGCAGAATACGAAAATGAACCACTCGTTGTTCATTTTCGTATTCTGCTCTACTTTCACTTGTGCCGCATATCTATTCGTTTCTCTAACTATAATTTTAAAAAAAAATCGTTACATAAAACTTGTTTGAAAACACACAGAGATGTTGCATTTGGTGCTACTTTGGTAGCGGTTGCACGGAGTTTTGGCGATTTACATTGGTGCAATTGTTGGCGCGGTTTTTGCAGTCGTCAGCCATCTTGAAAAATGCTGTTTATACGTATTTCACGCATATAGTAAAGTATTCGAAACTTTAAAAAAATAAATATCGTTAAAAATAATGGATTCATTTTTTGTTGAAAACGTTGTTTTTTAAGATGGCTGGCAAATGTAAATAAATACATTTACTATGAGTATAAAATGCTAAAGTAAGGTTAAATTATTACTTTCATATAATAAAATAAAAACACCGCTATAAAATATTGCGCCACCATTTAATTAGTTTAAAATATTACTTAAATTGAATATCGAATTAAAAACATCATACTAACGTTTGCATCTGCGATGTGTTTCAAAGCAATTAAGGAAACGTTCTGCCTTATAATTATGATGTGAGCTCCATCAAATCCGTAAAGTCTGCAAGATAAATATAAAGAAAAATTAAATGAAGACATTCTCAGAAGTGCACAAATGGCTAACCCAATCCTTAACTCGAATTACATTGCGGGAAGTTTCAACCGAGCGCTTATAATTCTCGAGGACAAATGTATATGTATTCTATTGGTAAAGTTCTATTGCAGCTTAGGCTATTGGCACCACATCGAAATGGTCAGGCGGTCCTACATAGGGATATCTGGAGGAGAACAAACTACTGCACTGATGCTTTCCATACATTTGGTTGAAAATAATAAACCCCTATTGGTCATAGACCAGAAAAGCGAGCCTGTGACACTCTTATAAGTATCTTTGAGGCTAGAAATAGTCGTCTTTGGTTTTTTGAGGCATCCAGAGGAACACGAAAAAAAATTTTTATTAAGTATTTTGCTGCTTGAGATTCGGCAAAGAAGTCAGATTTCGTTGGCTGTAGCGTCTTCAGAGATTGCATTAAGATTGGTGGTTGGAGCGCAATCTTATAATTTAGGGCAATGTATTATGGCCACAAAAGAACATCAGAAGCGCTTCATCATACTTTGTAAGTTAATAATGCGAATATAGGCGACTTATGGGCGGTGCTGTTATCCTCCTGGCAGAAGATTTTCGACAAACCCTGCCTTTGTTTCCCCGTTCTACCTCAGTGGAAGAATTTTATGCTTTCCTTATATCATCGATGTTATGGAGACAGAGACGCACAAATTGGATCTCAATGGTGAATATGTGCGTATTCTTACGAGAAGACACAGGGCGCCAAAGCCAGGACCCTCGTCCTGGTACATGCCTTTCGAAGTTGAGTTATCCGAACCTTGGCGACCTCTCAGAGGCGGAGCAGACACCCACAGTCCCTGCCCGGCTTTATACGTAGCCTCAGCAAGTACGAAAATGAGGATACTTAATTCAAAATACGTCGCTTAGTACATCTTTGCTTCGGGGCACCACTCCCTCGGCATCGAATAAATTCGTCTTGGTGCCTTGCCTTACTCCGTCAGTCCCCGTCACTGAGACTCTGAGGTCCAAACCCGCATCGAGATGGTCGTGTAAATCTAACCTTATAGCTCCACCACAGACAGAGGAACAGACATGACTCGGGTTCTAGTCCTGTGAAGACTTGATTGTATACCCCGTGGTTGAGACTGCCTAGGTACAGATCCTAACCAGTACTTTCCCAGAAATTATCCTGAGTGAATCCCCCCCGGGGGGGGGGGAACGAGAAAACACAAATGAAAAGCAATTTGCGCCGCAAATCGCTTTGGCAATGTAAAATTTTTCTTTCACCTCTACTATTGGTCTAACAACTACTAGCCGCACATAGTCGGTTTGAGACCACTACAAATCAAGGGAGATATTTTACCACCCAAATCATGCTGTTGTTACAAACTTCATTTTTAAACACTTTCAGTAACACTTAGCTAACTCTAAATAAAGTACTTGTAAAGGAAATTAATTAATTAACATTTATTATTAGTCAAAATGTGTAAATTGATAACTTATAAAAGCACTACGTTTCAGTGCCTCTAAGACATTTTTAAGTGACACTAATTAGTGTAAGATATTTATTTCGAAGTTTAAAGGTATTCTATTTTTAATTTGTTTCGTTTTAGGTTATATGCTGTGCTTTCTCTTTCCCTTTTTAAGTATCATCTCTCCCCAAACGTTGGATGACGCAAGTTTTAATGACGCAAACGAGTTTGATATTGATTTTGATAAAATACTGGAAAATTATCAGGAAGAATTAATTCTGTTGGCTGAGTTAAGAGATAAATATAAAAGAGAAAGTAAGTATGAGTTAATTAATAGAATTGCTTCTGTCTTCCAGATTTTTACACCAACGAAGTGAATACAGTAAACCAAATATAAATATTTAAGCTAAGTCTTATTTTTCTTATTGTATAAAGGAATTTAAACGTATGTAGGTCGATTTTGTATAGCATAATATTTAATCACTACGCTACTGTCTAATAAAAATAAACAACGAGAATAATATTATACATTGTTTCTTTTTTATATAAATAAATATAAATTAGGTAATAATATTTTTATAGTTTAGATTATTACGACATTCTATCATACTTGTAACGGGTATTTATTCGTTATGCATTTTGCTGTTTTTAAGCGTTGTGAAAGCTATGTGAGTTAAAAAGTACATCTTTTTCTTTTACAGGCCACAAATCTACAATTCTGGTGCTATTTTTCCCTTTAATTTGAAAAAGGGTAGTTTTCCATTATGCATCTGCCACGCTTTTCAGCGCTTATGAAAGAGAAGGCCAAACACAATTCTAGACCCAACGATAGTACAATCAAATGTGTATGTATGTTTGTTCTGTGCAAACAAGGAAAATTAAACACACACGCTCATATTATTGCAACGGTTCTGAAAAAATGCACAGCAGATGCATAATAGAAAAGTACCTGAAAAAGAAATGTTGTTTTTGCCAATCTCACTTATTTAACAAAGGTCAGCACAAGCCCACCACACTTTGAATTCAAGAGCTTTGAGCACCATATTAGTAAAAGCCCGATTTTAGCTCAATTCCGCCCCCCCCCCCCCCCCAATTTCGGGAGGGACTCCCGTGGGGGAACAGAGTACGAGAGTCTCCCACACTCCTCTTCCCTTACCATCAATCTCTCTAGAGGACTTTCAGATCGCCGCATATTTATAGTTTCCCCCATGCCCCACAGACATTTTACATTTATAAACATCCATGCCTTCCCCGCCATTCAAACCCCAGCCTTTCGGCACGGCAGTCAGAGTCACTCACACTTGCCTGGTTGGAAGGCTGAAAAAGAAATGATAGGCACAATATCATTTCTTCAATTCATAGGAATATTTTATGGAGTTTTATTGAATATTCAAGTAATTTTTAATACATATTCAGTAAAATGCTGAAAAACAAATTCATAAATTTCTAAACTTACTAAAATATTTAAAATAAATAAACGTTAAATAATGTTTTTCTAAGAAAAGAAAAAAAAAAAAAATATACAAGTAGAGTCGACACAGCAATACATAAAATTGGGTATCTATGAAAAACTTTTTTGGTATAGTCTATTTTATGCATTACCCAACCTTTTCTTTTAAAAAAAGTGTTAATTTTCTTTCAGGAAACATTAATTTCATTTATAAAATCTTGAACCTTATTTTTATTCTTGCAGCTTATTTAGAAAAATATAGTTATATAAATACAAATGTATAAAATCACATGTCCATCGGCCTATTTGTTAAGACCGCTGAATACTGGGAGTTCGATTCAATGTTAACGGACTAACTGCATGGCGGGTGCTCCCTATATGTAACGTGATCTTGAGATAGTTTCCATTAGCAAACCCTATACCTCTATCTCCTCTTAGACAGATAGCCTTTGTATGCTTTGCCGTATTCAAATAACTTAACTGCATTTCTTTGCAGAAATTTCTCTTGTGTGTTTCAACATCTCATTGAATTAAAAATAATTAAAAAAATGTTTTGAAAAAGTAATCTTTTATTTAAAACTCATAAAATAATTAATAAACTTTTTAAGTATGTATATATACTTGCATATACATGCATACATATATATATTTTAAAAACCTAATTAATTTCTGTGGGGCCTCAGCTTTTCTAACCGTCTAAGGCTCCTGAAATGCTGGAGATGGTCCTGAGGAAGATAAATATTTTTTCTATTCATTAGCTCAGAATGCTTAATACAAATATCTGGATTTAGATGATCTTGATATTTAAGTTGTCTGCTGGAAGGATCTGCACTCGTAGTCTGATGAGGTTCAAAATACATATATCTGTAATATCCATTAAGTACACAACAGAAATTTTCAGAGTTCGTTAATGGTTTACGTACTGCAATGAAATCGGTTTTACTTTTCAGTCAACGCAAAATATTCGAAGAAAGTCTCTGTAATTTGTTTTCAAGTATTCTTGCTGTTAAATTACAATCATGCATAAAATGTTTTCTTAACTACTATCATTTTTAAATAGCATATTTAATACATCTTATATCTCAAATTTTACTTTTTATAGATGCTATAGAAATTGTAACCGATATCAATTCCAACAGAGCTTTTGATCTGGATTTCGAGACAGAGAGACTGGAAGAACAGCAGATTATTTTTGAATATATTGCTACAGTAACAAACATGTAAGTATAAAACTGTTTTCTGAAATAATTGTATATTATCGTTTCGAATTTTTTAAATTTTATTCCATCACATATAATTAAAAGGTTAGACGCAGAATAAACCAATTAAAGTCAAGATTTCTCTTACGTTAGTCGAATACAATTTTGCGTATGATGGGATATGTACTATGTTGACATGTATATTGTATCATTTGACTAATCGAAGCTAAGGCATCTTGACTATCTTAACATCGCACTGCCAAATGAGTTTCTCTCCGAATTTGTGAATAACCTCTTAAGAGTGTACGTATGTTGGAATTTTAGAAGTGCACTTATTATTTTAATACTTTAAAATAGATAAAACGTGTTAAAAAAAGGGGGAAATTTTATATATTGCGTTCTATTGATTGACGATATGAAATGAAAAACCGATGTTTTTCCATAATTTGATTTTACGACACAAATTATGTGTATATATTAAATTTTGTAAAATTTGGTGAGAAACTTACCGAGAAATTAAAAAAAATTATTCTGGAAGCAAATGTATTTCCGACGTATACTTCTTTTAGTTTGCGTCAAAAATAATTCAATTCGCGAAATTCTTAATTTAAGCTAAAATACTTTTCTTTACCTTTTATAAGGTATGTAAAGATTTAAGAAATAGGTGAATCAGAGGCCGATGATAATTAAGTAGAGGCTTTATTAAATGATGGAATTAATCACGCACGTGGAACAGCACATTTCTACATATCACACCAAAACTAAACTACAACGACTGTTGCCAATACAACCTAAGCAAAATATAAACAGTTACGATTAATATACATATAACATCAAATCATAAACCAGGGCGTAAGTGTGATTATTCTCAACACCCTCCCTTAATCACATATTATTTTACATTTATCTCTTAAATAACATAATCTTGATTTATGCAAGCATTTTGTAAACAAATCAGCTAACTGATTTTCACTAGAAACATATACAAGATTTATATCATACAATTTTACAATATCCCTAATATACTTTAATTTAATATCCAAATGTTTTAGTCTAGCACAATTACTTTCATTTAATATTGCTTTAATTACAGACTGATTATCCTCATAAACTGAAACTTCATATTTTCGACTCCTAAAATTTCTTTAGATACATTATAAAATACAGTTAGGTCTTGAATAGCTTTTGCTAAAGCCAAACTTTCTGCCTCAGTAGAGGACAGAGCAATAGATGTTTGCTTTTTAACAGACCAAGTTACAGGACAATCATTAAAGAAAATAATATACCCTGAAATAGATTTTATATCATTTGTATCTGGCCCCAATCAGCATCAACATAAACATTTAATATAATATCAACACTATTAGATTTACAAAATAATAATTTGAGTTCAGATGTCCCTTTTAAATATCGAAGAATTTGCTTCAGACCAGCCCAAGCACTGTTAGTGGGTTGCTCTTGTATTGACTCGGACAGTTCCAACAGAAAACAGAATATCAGGACGCGTTGTCATAGATAGGTACAGCAAAGCATCTACAAGTTCACGATAAGAGCCATGAAATCTTTCACCATTCACAAAATTTGATGATTCATCAAATTTTGTGAATGTAAGCATCAGATGGCTTACAATCTAACATTGAACAAATACATGTTGTGTAGCATAAAATTTAGAATAATTAATACATTAAATTTTGATAGCTGTAATTAGATTAATTACGTTAATTTGCTACACAACCTAACACTGTCATTGAATGAAAAGTTTCACTTACCTGAGGTAAGTTAGATATGCGATTAACAGTGCCGATTTCAGACATAGGTGAAGAAGGTAGCCACACAGACAGCTGGATTTCAGAGAGGATTAATAAAGTTGTTCTCAAAAGCTATAAAATAAAGGGAGATTTTGCTTTGAGTTATTAGGATGTTTAGTTTATAAAGGAAAGTAAGCTATACTAATAGACGAGACCACTAAAATGCTGTGCCAATCATTTATTGCACTACGTTCTTAAAAGCAACTGAAACTCTAGCCCCTGCATCCTATTGATTTTCTCAGTTAACGTCTAGATATAAGGTTAAAACTGTAGCGAATGAAATATTTGGAATTCTTTCAGTTACTCTCATATTTCCCTGTAATTTTTACTCACTTCTTGGGCTTCTACGAACCATTGCAATCATTAATTTCTTGCAATCGCTTCATTTGCTTAGAGGCAATGAAGCAATTCTAATCATTGAAAATGAAAGGGAAACAGAAGTCGGGAAAGATGGTAAAACTGATTGTAATGGGAAAACATTCATAATCTGCAGCTTTCATGCCTTTAAAATTGTAATTAAGCTGGCTTAAGCGTTGCCACAAATCGAAAGCATGCAATTAATTGGTTTCGGGCAATTTTAGAAGATTGATGTGGAGGTAAGTTATTTTAGTGATATATATATATATACAGATGGAGGACAAAATAATACGAACACCTAAGAAATAATGGAAAATCTTTATTAATAGGCAGTTGGACCACCCTTTGACTGAAGTATAGATTGAATGCGATGTGGGATACATGCATAAAGGTCATGGATAATATTTAAAGGAATATTAAGACATTCCTCCTGCAGAGCGGTCTCTAATTCCGAAAGTCCGGATGGAGGTGGAAATCGGGAACGAAGTTTGGAATCCGAATATGCCCATAAATATTCAATAATATTCAAGTCCGGAGACTGAGGGGAGACAAGCGAGATGTTCACTTGCATCGTCATGCTCTTCGAACCATTCTTGAATATACCTAACAGTGTGAATAGGGTCGTTGTCGTCTTAAAAAAGCAGTCGCTTCCCAGGGAATTCAGTCTGGGCAAAAGGATGGACATGATCCACTAGAATGCTTAGGTAGTGAGATGTGATCCTCCCATGCGGAATAACAAGTGGCCCAAGACCGCGCCAAGATATCGGATCCCATACCATAATGGCGCCACTCCCATACTTCACTGTCGGCAAGAGGCAGTCAGGATAAAACGCTTCTTTGGGCATTCTCCAGACATAAACGCGTTCGGTCGTTTGAAATAGGGTGAATGACGATTCATCTGACCATATTACTTGTTGACACTGCTGTGGATGCCAGCCTTTGTGATCTCTGCACCATTAGCGTCGCTTGAAAGCATTAGTTGCTGTCACCAAGGATTTACGAATTGCCACTCTGCCATAAATGTTCTCAGCATGAAGTTCCCTTTTGACAGTTTTTGTTGAAACGGGGTCCTGAAGATGAATGTTCATTTCGGATGTTATATCAGATAACGACTGCTTGTGCTTTCGTGCTACTATGCGCTTCAAGACCCGTCTATCGCTGTCAGCCAGCTTTGAATTTCGGCCACTGTTGTGCTTTGAAGACGTTGTCTTACACTCTTTAGTGTACGCTATCATAACGGCTGATACCGTACTCCTTGCACACCCCACAAAGTTTGCTGTTTCCATAACTGATGCTCCACTTAAACGCGCTCCAACTTATCATTCCTCTTTGGAACTCTGCCAGGTCTGACATTTCAACTCTCACAGAGAGTTCGATCGAACCATGCAACGCAGGTGACTGCTGTTGAGAGACTGATACCTTCCTCTTCACGCTCACTAGGTGGCAGACTTCTGTTGCAGGAGGCGCGGCTGTACTGCAGGTGTGAAATATGTCATACTTTTTCACAAGGGTCCACATTATTTTGTCCTCCATCTGCATATATCACTGAGTATATATATATAATAATGAAAAAGTGATTAATTAAAAAATTCGTGTGTGGCCAGCACATGACTTTCTGCTAATTCCGTGTTTTAACTAGTAAAGTTTCTTGGTAAAATATCATTTCTTGTTCGTTTGTAAGCAAAATCTAATTTGCTGTTCCGATAAATAAAATTGTCTGCATTACGAAATTCTGAATTATATTTAATACAAAATATAATTTAAAAAAATGTGTTTAGTTTTCTTAGTAAATTGGCCAACTTTTTATTTGCATTTCAGTTGTATTTATTAAGCATCACTTTCTTCTCACTCACGCCACATAAAGTTCAACACCACAACCACAAATCTTTTAAAAGCAGCATATCTTTAGAGATATTACAGTGTTAAGTGTTCCATAAAAAGTTTTCATTTTCCGCATATTATTTACGTCTGCTGTAGTATTTCTTTAATAATACATATATTTTTTACGAAAATCTGTTCAGAACATCAAATAACGTATCACTTCCGGTTTATAAATTTTAGCCAAAATCTAATATTGTTACGGATTTTGTATTTAGTTTGCTATTTTTAGTAGAATTATATTTAAAATTGTTTTATACCCTCGTTCAATGCAGCGCGAGACTTATTAGAGATTATTAGGATTAAGAGACTTGTTAGGATTCAAAAGAAAGTTACTCCGGAAAAGTAAAAATATAGGTGCACGCGCATTTAACATTTAATAAATAGATATCTCGTAATTCTACTCTTTTTGATTTCAAGAAATTGCTAGAACTATCTCGCGTGGCCGATTTAAAAAGCTATAAAAGTCAGAGAGAGAACATCCCAGTTCAGTTGCTTATTCAGTTGTTGTTGTCTACTTAGCTGTTGTAATTTTGAGATCGGATTAGCTTTCTCTGCACTTTGGATTATGTTTTATTTAATGTTTTATTAGTAGTTTAAAATATAGCTACGGATTATATTGGGTGATATTAAGATATTGTACAAATATCTTTAAGGAAAAATTCAGCGTTTTGTTATATTTCTTGTGATAAGAAAATTTTTATTAACGTTTTATCGGACTTGTGCATTCAATCTATTACAAACCTGTTCGCATGCAACAATATGTTGTTCCCATGAGTATAAAAATCTGAATTGCTAAAATTGAAATATTTTGATTATATTTGTTGCTTTAAATACTGTTCCAGCTTCAAGTAAGTACCGATTCCGGTTGTCCATTTTTAATCTCCCGGTTGTCCAAGTAAGTACCGATCCCGGTTGTCCATTAAAATAGTGGTCAACCATTCCGGTTGACCACTATTTTACGTAAATGCTTATTTATAGTAAAACAGTTTTCTAAAAATCTGGAATTGAATTATCTAAATAAATCCATTTATCGAACCAATTCTTGTAACGCTTATTTGGGATAATCGAAGTTTTACTGTAATTAAAATCAGTTTTATAGCTTAAAGATTTCGAGTCTTATATGTAAGAAAATACAAATCAAATTACGGAGTTTTCTTCTTTTGAACTTGCGCAATTTTGTAAACAATCTGTATTTTTTATTACCACGTTTAGAGAGAATGCTTTTCATTTCTTTATGAATGCTATGCGTATATGCAAAATTTTTGAACATACTGATTTGTAATTACTTACGGTGAATAAAATGGCTGAAAACTAAAATATTCATTAAGCTCTAATTAGGTAATAACGAAACTAACGTTTCATACCTCTAACTGTCAAATTTGGGCTAGAAAATTACACCGAAACATTTTTACCAAAGGTAAAGGTACCAGTTGGAAACTGCATATTAACTTGCCGTTACTAGGACAGTATAATTAAGGGCCAAACATAAACGTTTATTATACGAAAAGTCTGGATTCATTTCTACAGCAGATTCTCTTGAATAGCTCAAGAACATTGAGTCCGAAGCCTATCATTTGTTCCAGCATTCCACGTTAAAAAGCATGGTTAATCAGGTAGTTTGAAATTGTCAAAACACTTAGAGTTCCCCATCGCACTCAGAATATTTCTTACCGTCTATTTTATGAATAAAAGTTTGTCTCGCTTGATTTTCTACTTAAGATACAACAATAAGAACTCATAGCAATTTTTAGAATTATAAAAAATAAATCTTATAAAAAATATATGGAACTGGGCAACCAAAAATAAACCGAATCGAAACCAGTTCGTCGAGGTTTCCGCGGACGTCACTCGTGTAATGTGCAGGAGCCCCATCATGCTATTATCACATGGAGCGGCGCAACGACGGAGCAACATATGCTGTGTCAAAAAGTTTGCGCAGGACTTGTTGCAAGAAGATCAGGTATACCATATCGTCCAAAAGACTAGGAAGAAGGTACGCTCCACTGAAGTAGTCTCCACGAATGCCGGTCTAAAAATAGACCGCGAAACGCACTTGAGCTGCAAGTGGTTGCATACGATGAAAGTTCTCCAATGTCCAAACATGGCGTTAGGGTGATTGAAGGTTCCCTCACGTGTGAAGTGTACTTCATCCGTTAGCAACACGGAAGCAGCAAATGCTCTGTCTATGGCTTTCTGTGGCAGGAACTATGTAGCAAACGTCCTTCAGAGTGGATAATCTTCAGGCTCTAATAATTGAACGAGATGAGGATGGTATGCGCTCATTTGGTTTGCTGCGAGTATCTTCCAGACAATGGATTGAGATAAGCCCACTCTTTGGGGTATCGCTCGAGTACTCGTTTTTAGATTGTCTTCTGCCAAACGTAAGACCGCCTTCCCCATTGCCAGGTGTCCTAGGTGTTCGCTGTGAATTCATTGTAGCTCTCGTTAAACAACCAGTCTCACGTAACCTTCTGTTCACACTTGCGAAGGTCGTGTGATGTGAAGCACGCCTGATCGGATAACGTTCCTAGTACAACCGCCGAGCGGCGCTTTTTTTGCCCGTTATAATCCGCAGCTTCATACACGATCAGCATGTCGACAAGTTCATCATTTGAATACGCGTTCATCCAATGGATCGCTGTTCACGCAAACTTCCTTTCAGCGCCAATCTACCACAAGACTGCCGGGGGGAATCTTCCAGAACGTAAGGAATTCCATGCAGCACCGCTGTCAGGCCTGCCTGACGACTGCTTTTTTGCACCATAGCTCGCAACTACGGCATTTGCGACCTTGCATTTCTATGTGATTCCGAATCGTCTCTGTTCTGCCTACACACCCTGCCAGTTTGTCGGTCTGGTAGCGAATCACCCTGTTACTCCGTTTGGTGAGCTCAGTTTTGTTGTTCTTATATGTTTGTGAACTGTGCATTTTTTATGCTTTAAAAGTGATTGAATTATGTTGTTCTTACTTTCGGATTAAGGTTTTTATGCCTTCAGTGAATGCGCATGCAGTAGTTGTAGAATGGTTGACAATTTAAAAGTTGTTTAAATGCTATTAAGCCGGTAAAAGTATAGTTTAGGGTACGCTTGGCGAAAATTGGCGATTTTTGGCGGTACACGGATGCCGATTTTGTGCAATTCTTTGACTCGTTATTTTGGCTTTGCGAAGCGGCGATTTTTGCGCCCAAAATCGCCGCTACACAAAGCCAAAATAACAAGACAAACAATTGCACAAACTCGGTATCCATGTACACATCGACTTATTTTCACTTAAAAAAAATCTCCGAATTGCACAAAAATGGCATTGCGCACTCCTTTGACTTTATCCATGTATACGTCGACCTATTTTCACTTAAAAAAAATCTCCGAATTGCACAAAAATGGCATTGCGCACTCCTTTGACTTTATCCATGTATACGTCGACCTATTTTCACTTAAAAAAAATCCCAGAATTGCACAAACTTGCATTGCGCACTCCCTTTACTTTGTCCATGTACACATCGATATATTTTCACTTAAAAAGTCAAAGGAGCACCAAATTCTACAATATAGGCAAACAAAAAATACATATCTCAATAAAATACATTTTAAACCAAACAATAAAATAACATAAAAAAGGAAAAACATGTTATACATTTAAGCACTGCCAAAAGCAAATATTCACTTACCATGATTTTCGAATTCGCTTCTTACACCCAGAGCCACGTAAAAATCAAAATATCAATCATACTCAAATGAGATTTTTCAAACCAGGTACTCTTTCTGATCGAACGCTTCACAAAGTGACCATCTGAACCTTTCTTCCTACAAAACCCATTCAAATCCATCTAAACGGTTTTTACGTTCGACTAGACGCATATCCTTCCTACATACAGGACACTTATAATGGCTACTAAGTAAACCTTCATTTACACACCAGTCAATTAAAGCTCTTTTCCCCTTTCGCTCCAAATCGTACAGAAACTTCAAATTAATCTTACTACATTCGGCCATTCTACCGTCTAAAGAATCAAACCAACACACACCCCAAAAACGCTTACAAAACATCCCAATGATTCAAAATTTCCCAGAATCATGCACCCGATTACGTCACAATAGGGTTTCCATAACATTCAACTACTCAGGCTACCATAAATGAAACGACAACTTGGCGATAAATCAAACAACAACTTCGCCATAATACAAGGGGTACCTTAAAGTCTACTCTACCCATTAAGCCTAATAAGTACTACTAAGCCTCATTTGTTTACATTTGAAATTTTTATTAGAATAATGGATTAAGTCAATTTTTGCACCAACTTCAATGTCTTTTTGCTGAGTGGAACCAAAAATAAACTTTCTCTTTTGTGCTATCTTATTGCCCCTGGCCGAATTGATTGGTTTTGCATGGAAATTCTAATTTTAATTGTAAAAAAAAAAAAAAAATTTAAACTGTTTTTACCCGTATTTGGTGTTTTATGTTCTGCGTTTTACTATTTTTAATGAAGATATTTTGAGTTTTTATGTAATGTTGCCTTGTCGGGAATTAAGAACTGAATTAATTGCTCAAGAAATATATCTCTAATGAAATTTGAGGAAATAAGTTTAAATAAAGGGCAGCAAAAGTGTGTATAATTTAATAAGCCATACGAAAAAGCCATGTGGTGGCAATATCAGATTTTTTATAGATAAGATTTTAGTCAATATATTTGCAAAAATAGACCGATATACCTAAAAACAGGTTAAACAGACATGACGAGTTTATTTGAAATAATTCTTCTCATCAGTTCTGCAAATTGAATGACATTGAGATCAAATATAAAACCATATTCATAAGAAATTCTAAATACCATTCTGAATTTCTTTTAGATAAAATATTCACGTTTTCATATTTTAGGGTTTAAAATTCAGTCGTTGTTAAAAGCAAATTTGAAAAGTTGTTATAACGATGTTGGTTTATAGAATGAAATGTCCTTAAAATATATTAAAATGATAAAACTAAACTATTTATGAATCTCTCATGAAATCAACAAACAGTAAGATTACTAATAATCTTGAAATATTTTGTTAATCTTGTTCAGAAACTAAGAAGAGTGCCTAATGCCTCACAGGCCGTCTCCATCTGCCCATTTTTTCTATCATTTGTTTATGTTTGTGCTTAGTTTTAGAATATTGCACTTCCAAAATGGCAAAGCCTTCTTATTGATTTGTTTGATTTATAGAGCTACCTCCTCGAATTTCTTACAGATAAATGAAATATTGGCAATAAATTAAAATGACTTTGCATTGTAAACGGAAATAAATAATTTCACGGAAATTTCAAAAGACTTTAAAGGTCAATCTAAAATAAGACTTGGAACTTAAAAATGTAGCTAATAAATCCTTTAATCAGTTTGTGAAGTCTTGTTTAAATTCTAGGTTGGACTTGCCAGAAGACAAAAGGGCTCGTCTCATAGAAAAACTCAATTCGTTTCCTAAATTCCGTGAAATTGTCAACACATGCAAGAGAGCCATACCTTCTCCCCAGTGTAACTTTTTGTCACCGTATAGGACTTATGATGGCACTTGCAATAATTTAGAGCACCCTAGATGGGGTGCCTTATTTTCATGTGATCTCAGGCTTTTGGATGCAAATTATGAAGGTAAGAGAAAAAAAATTATTACTTTTCAATAAATATACAAACGGATATTTTAAACAGTAGTAAAATTTATTAGCTTTTTAAAAATTGATCGCAGTCATATAAAATGCAATTCAAAAAATAAATTAAATAGCAATTTTTAAACTAAAATAATTTTAATCGTTTGGGGATTGGGAAAGGCAGGAATCAAGATTTCTATAAAGACTCTATTAAAAAAAATCAGCGAAAAGTAACGTTATGCAAACAAAACTGAAACAAAAAATATCATTATCAAATAAAAGTAATCAACATATCATTAATTATCAGGACAGTGTACTAATACGGGAATTTGTTATTAATTCGGAATGAATCATTTTTAGCCCAAAAAGGCTATTGGTATTGACACACAATTTTGCGTTGTTTCACTTTAATGTGTTGTTTCACTTCTCACTGGAGTCCGTTGCCATTCGGAAAAACATATGGTATTATTTTTTCATAATTAAATTGTCTGTTATTAATTAAAAACTAAACTATTTAAATACAACAGATGCAGTTCTTGAGAACATTCTTATTCTTATATTTTAATCTCATTGATTTAAATTCAAATGCATTTAATTCGTGATATATATAATTAAAAGTATTAAATATTTTTATAGAGCTACGTTACATATTTTGTAACTTTTGAACATATAGAAGATATGTAACATTTCCATGTTAGCCTAAATGCATATTCATCTAATATCCTCTAAATGTTTCGCTATTCCACTTGGGTCATGTTTATCGATAATCTCGGTATTCTGTTATTAGGACAGTATTCATAAATGTAGGTATGTGTGCATGTAGTGTGGAGCCTCGAGATAAGAGGTTAATTCGTTTCAGCATTGAGCTCGTATAGCAAATTTCTTGTATCCAGAAACAAACTTCCCCATTGAAAATAATGGAAATCCAATTAATCCGTTTCGCACCCCCAAAACTATCAACATAAAAATAAGTTTTTCTAATAAATAACACTGGTAAATAATATAATCTTATTTTACCTTTATATGATAGCTTCCGACACCGACCTTAACTGTTTCTCGTTAATACACACCAACAACAGCTTCTAGGAGTTTTGTACAGTGCTTGGAAGTAACGATAACTCTTTTGGCCACATCAAGTTTCTTAGTTTCTTCCTTCATCTTCAGAATAGTGCAGGTTGTCAATGTCGAAAGGCCGTAAGTCTTCGTCAGTTCCGTCACTCTTACATCACGCTTATGTTTATCTATGATTTCTTTCTTAAATTCAACGGCCATGGCTTCCTTATTTTTCTTTGCTGCACTATCTGAGGCAACAATCTTCTTGGGAGGCATCGTGAAATAATTATTTTCACGTTAAATGCAATAAACAATTAACTCACAAGCGCACAAATATATAGATCAACGAATCTGACGAGGGGATTCAGCCTGGCTCATTGCTCGTTACTCGAGTCAATGCTCGTATTTAGAGACGAATTTTTCGCTCATACTTTCCTCGTATCTCCAATTTCAAGTATATACAGGTGTGCTCGTATTTCAAGGTTTTACTGTATGTTTATTCTTGCTTACCTCTGGTAGATGAAAAGTGCCCCCGTTCTCCGTCATCTGTATGTATGTATGTGTGTACACAACATTAACAAGGTAAACAGGTAAAAGTGCATGGGGCACCAGAGACTTCATTATAGAATCGTACACGTGCTTCCCCAATACACTACCAACTAGAGTTTAAAAAATTGGAATTGACTCTAAGCTTTTTATCCTGAAGGAACACTGGAGTTACAGACCGAAGTGGTTGCATTTAAACATAACGGGATAATAACATAAAGTTAGGCAAAGTTACATAACATAATACAAAGTGTTGAATTATACTTGTTACTGTGAAAGACTCGAAATCTTGTTAACATTCTCCAGTGAATGTCAGCATTCAGATAGTCAGTTGGTGTATGTTCGAAATATTTGATAAGTGTCCTTATTTCTTACTTACACCGGCAAATATCAACATTGTTTATGCACTGATGGTGAATATTGAATAAAAAATATTTTTGCTAGATTTTTAAATCATACTTTATTATAAAAATAAAACATATTATGATATGTCAAAATAGGATAAAGCTTAGGTAACATCACATTTAAACAAACTGTTGAACTTAAAACGAATAGTACATACTGAATGAGAAAAGAAAATAACACCAGTAATTTATTTACCTTATTATGTGACTGATGTTATACAGTCTTATTTATTGCAAAAACAACCGGTAGTATTTCGAATGCACAAGAACATAATCAAATACTCCGTCTTTCACCGACGTGAACTCTTTATTAAAACTCTTTAAAATTCACAATGCGTCGACTTGACGCTAACAAACTACGCCTCACTCGGGCGGCAACTCAACTGATGTTACTCGGAATCATTTATTGGGGTGTAGCCTAGTCATTGCTTTTTACGCTTTTTCGTTTTCAGTCCTATGTTTTCAATTTTCAGTCAAAATATGACTTAGCATAGATCCAGTCCTACAGCAGTGAGCTTTCAGTGTATTTTCATGATTTTAGATACAGGTGGCTTTGAGATATCACCAGTCTTTTCAAATTCAAGTCTATATAGTGGGTTTCCAGATGTGCAGGCCATTTGTATGAGAGCAGAAGAATATGTAATGGTCTGCATCTTTTTGTCTCCACAGACGCAATTGTCGCTATCAGAGGGGCCATGGCCGATGAGGTAGGTAAGAACTGGTGGGTGCGCTGACCAGTTTTTGCGTTAGTCCACTCTTCCTGATATATATCCTGTTTAGATATCTGTTTAGGATTTGTCGTAGTTGCGATTTCGGAAGCTTAATGAGGAGGAACTCGCCTTTTTGGAAAACAGCTGCTCCTTTTGCAAGACTGTTGCCAACATTACCGCTGTGCTCTTTGATCGAAGTTATTATTATTGCAGTATTGGGGTCTTTAGAGATTTGATTAATTTCACAGAATAGGTGAAAACAGTTGTCTGGATTTCGGAGGGAGAGTATGGCTACTTGGCTGTTTGATTTAATGGATATTTTGGAGAAATTGTTTATTGACTCAATGTTGATGGCAATTTTATTACTTAGAGTTCCGCTTGATGCATGCTACTGGAGTTGCTTAAGTACCCTTTCCATTTTATGTTGTTCGATGGAAAGACTGCCTCACATCCGAATTTTTCTCCGATTTTTGATCCGTCAGCGTAAGCTTCAATTACTTTGTTTCTTGGGTAGCTATTCGTTTGGATTTTTATTCTGGTATGGAAATTGGCCGGATGTCTTTTGTATGGAGGAAGGCGTTGTTTGCAATTGTCTACAGAATAGATGTAATCATTGAAGCTGATGCTTTTTCTGAGTTGAAGGACACATACACACATATATGCATTCCTGAGTCCGGTCCCGTTAACAGAAAAGTATCAGAATCTCTACCGATAAACCGTATTAAATTTTAAAAGGGTCCTTATGTGCGATCATTAAAATGTGAACCCTTTTCAGATATCTTTTTTTTATGTTCGGTTGATTATTATCCATATTATTTACACGATTCGTGACAACGCTATAGACTTTAAGAGCATAATTAAAATCTTTAAAAGTAAATTTCAGAAAATTGTACAGAACACGGTCGAAAGCTTTTTTAGAATGCAGAGAATTTATAATTCAATAAGTGAATTTTATTCTAAAAGATTTTTTTAATTAATTTTTTTTGTATATAAAGGTGTAGCTGGTTTCGTAGAATCTGTCAAAGGAGGACCTCTACCTCATCCGAGGGTATTATCTCTGAATCTCAGCAATGAAGCGGAACTTCCAAGAATGAATGTCTCGCATTTGTTTCCGTATTTCGGTCAATTGTTGGCTCATGATATGGCTCGTACTCCTCCAACAACGAGTGAGCGATGAAGGAAAAATTATTTTATCTCTAACTGATTTATTGAAAATGAGTCTCAAAAAGTTGCTGCACTATTACAGTTTATTATATTATATTATTTATTTACATTTATATAACTTATCTTAATTTTAGATTTATTTTATAATTTATATGTTTAAATTTTAATATTTATTGAAATGTAAGATTTATAAAAAATATTTTTAATGTTATTATTTATTTATTTTCAGTTTTTAAATAATTCATTATTTCTGTTGTTAATTATTTATTTATTACTGTAAGGTAAGGATCTGTGGATGTCATTCACAGTCAACGTTCTTATTAACCGTAGAAATTTCTTCAAAATGTTTATTTTTAGCTAAAGAATATACTTTTCCCATTTTAAAAAAAACTATATATAGGCTTAGTATAGCTACAAAGTTGTGATGTAAACTATTAGAAAATGAACATTTGATCAGTATCAGAAATGAAAAGCAAGTAATTATTTATCCAAGTAAAACTTGGAATCGCTTACAAGCTAATAAAATGAGCAAGACCTGATTCTGACTGCCTGAATTAATGGCGATATGACTTTTTTAAGCGGACGAAAATGAAGATAAGGAAAAAAATCCCAATGTGAAAATTTCAGATTACAATCAAACATCACAAGAGGGATTCATCGTTAAAAATGCAAAAATAAAAGTAAAATAAAGTAAATTAAAAAACTGCAAAATAACATCATAAAAAATTTATTTCATATCAGCTGTGTAACATATCGTTAATTTGAATGATGATTTAAATATATCCTGATTTGACGAATGAAAACACTACACTCTAAGAATCCATTCTTAACAAAGGCATATGGAAGATAGAATAGTTTATATACTTCAAGAAAGTAGTAACACTCCCGATGCCTGCTTGTAATATTTGCCAATGCTTTCTTTTCCATTTTCCCCATATGTCAGTTTTCGAGGCATAGTCGTGTCTACGGAGTTTTATTTTGCCTACATAGGAAGTAATTACTTAAGTTTAGAGAATAACTTCCTTCGAAGTTTAAAAGAAGTTTCACTGATGGATATTATTATCTATCTAATATATTTACTTAACATCGTATTCATAGAATTCGTATAAGTCCTAAAAATTCCGCCATTTTTCTTCTAGACTTGTTTACTTACCACGCTTGCTTGATCTTAGACACTTACTTAGTCTACAATTTTTTAATTCTGGCATACTTCCAGCGCAATTTCAAAGCTATGTACATAATTTAATAATTTGCAAGACTCCTCTCTGGCCTTTTCTTTCTTTTCGAACTGGTAAGACTAACATAATCAATTTGCATAACCTGTGTTTTCGGATAAACTTTTAAGTTATTTCTTTTTCTCAATGCAACAAACGTTGGTAGACATAAGGAAGGATAAATTTAAACGAAAAATATCAAATTAATATCTAAAAATAATATTTATAAACTTTTATCTCTTCAAAGAGGTAAATTACACCAAACTTCATACTTTACAGTAGATAATTAAAAGTTTTTAGCTGAGCACATACACACACACACACCATAAAAAGTTGGAAAAAGTATAATTTTATTATTCATCATTTTGTGTGCATATATATTATACATATTACCTCGAAGCTCTTGACATAAAAACAACTGAATACGTTTTTAGATAAATAATATATTTTCTTTATAACTTCGCAACTTCACTTTCTTTCTAGTATATGATGGAAAGTTGTTCTGTTCCGTTTTTCTTGTTGATAGGTCTGGTGATCTGCAACTAATTTCCTTTCGAATACAATAAAGTTCAGTTTCTTTTCTTCTTATATCAGGACATCTGTTTGCCTTTACTGGCTAAATTGGCTTAGTTCTTGATTGCTAAATGAATGGACTTTTTAAGCAAACGCGACAGTAATCGGCTTCCAATTCTATTAAATTTGACGACCAACATTACGTGCCGTCGTCAATACATGACAGAACAGAGAACTATTCCTTTATTGAACTTCTTGTTCTTGTTTGACAAGGTACTAGTTCCAATCGCAAACTATGCTTTCAGTCAAACCAACTGTGTAACATAATTTATTATCAAGTTGTGATTTCTTATCATTACCTTCCCATTTACGTAACAATACGTATTATAATAATGTATCTGTAGTATCATTTTGGTGATAACGCTTCATGTTCCCGAATGAGATAAAGTAAAGAAAATGTGGAATGAGAGCTAAGGCATTGCATATACTACATAGCCTGATAATACCTTTAAAAGGTTATCAAGAGATGCAGTCTGGCTAAAACGTTTTAGGATTGAGCTCATAAAGTTATTCTACGTATAACTCTTGTGAAGTTATACACCGGTTGGCGTAATCCTCAAGCAGTTCCAAACCATGCTGGAATGTCTCTTAGCTGCCTCGTAATGTTTTGTTGGATCATCTTGATATCGTCGAATCGATGGCCTTTCAGCTTTAATTTTAGTCTTGGAAACGGAAAGTATTATGGCTTGGATATTTCCGGCGATTAGGCAACGGGTGTAACACAGTTATTTTTTTTTCTAAAATCGCACGAATGAGAGCTGTATTGGGGGCGACGCATTATCGAGCAGAAAGAGCCAAATTTTTTTGTATAATAATTCGAGACGCACACATGCGATGCGTTTCAATAGCCGATCCATTACACCCATGTGCATTTTCTTGTTTCCTGTATCAGTATGTGAAATATAAAAACCCAGAGGTCTATATATTAGTACCTTATTGATTGTTTTTTACGACTTCTCTTTTGTTATGTTTTTCTAACCTTTTTTTGGAATGGGGGCTGTTGTTGTTTCTGGCTTTCTTTGTCGCCGCCCATAAAAGAACCCTAGGGTGATATAAAGTCTTCCAGGAGGGTGGGTCTGAGCCCCTCCACATCACATTCATGTACAACACTGCATTCACTATTCTTCTTTTAGGAACGAATTCCTGATGAATCAATTCTCTGCAGTAAGAAAACCCGCAAACATTGTCTTCATCCCGGAGTTTCGGAAACGCCCTTTCTCTGGTTTTTGACGAACTTGGCCAACCTACTCTGCACTCTGTGTTTTCGTTTCTCGATCGTAACAAAGCACCATAATTCATCATCTGTGATGATTTTTTTAAAGTCTGGATCGCGATTTTGAATTTTAAGAAGATCCTGACAAACTGCAACTCGATCATTCTTTTGTTCTGTTGTGAAGGAATCCGGAAGAAAAAGTACACACAATTTCCATTTTCCTAAATAATCACCAATTATTGTACAGCCAGTTCATTTATCAATATTTAAATATTCTACAAGCATTCTAATCAGTAATCGACGATCTTGACTTAACGGCAGCACAGGCAGCTTCGATGTTAGGGCCAGTTCGGCTTGCTCGAGGTCTTCCCTTTCTTTTGCCATCTTTTATGCCATCTCGAAATCTACCGAACCACACACACACACACACCAAAAAAAAGTGTTAGAACGGGATAAACATTCTTCACTGTAAGGTTTCTGCATCGCTTGATAAGTTTTGCCCCTTTAAAACAAAACTTTATCGCACATCTCTGTTTCAAATACGAGTCCATTGCAAACATAAATGAATTCAAATACAAAACGATAATTTCTCCTTAACAATTCAACTCATCCTAAAGAGGTTAGCAAGCTAGAATCGAAATGCTTTTTACTGTATGTTCCGTTTGTTACAAGCAGATTGCTATAACAGACTGTTAATATTCAATGAGTCTTAAAACGTTTTAGCCAGACCTTGTATACTAAGCATGCGCTGCGAGCATATGGCAACTGTGTATTATTATTGTCAAGTCTGCTTGAAAATAACATAGAGGTATTTTCATCTTTTCTTAGCAGGTTGTTCTTTGTTTATTGTTTCATATGATGGTATCTTACAAGTATTGAGATATATGTTGTTAGCATTAAGATTTTTTCCCCTTTTTGTATGTAGAATTTTGGAACATTTGCAGACACAAAATAAGACGCATTTTCATCAAATAAAAATTTTAAATGTGTGAAATTTTGTTTTTAATGCATATCGACTGGCTTAGTAATACTCTTTTTAATATTAATAATTCCTTTCTAATAATAATAATAACTAATAAATCTAAGCATGCTATTTTTCCTTAGCTGGAGGCCGAACAATGCTTTGCTGTCCGATAAAGGGAATGCTGCATCCGCAGTGCATACCACTGCTATACGCTGCTGATGATCCATATTATAAGCAGTTCAACTTCACTTGTCAAACTATGCTTAGACATGTCCCATGCACATCCTGTTCATTCGGTGAGTAAATTCTTTCTAGAGTTCGGCACTACCTGGGAAGTGAGAAATTATTTAAAAAGGGAAACTAAGTTTTTTTTAATATAATGCATTGTTTAAATAAAATACATGAGTTAAAGTTACAAGCAAAAATACTTTGTAATAATTTAAAATATAATACCAATATTTCAAAAATTCAACACATGTCTACTATTGTGAAATGTAAATATAACGTAAGCATCCAAGTGATTGCTAAATGAATGGACTTTTTAAGCAAACGCGACAGTAATCGGCTTCCAATTCTATTAAATTTGACGGCCAACATTACGTGCCGTCGTCAATGCATGACAGAACAGAGAACTATTCCTTTATTGAACCAGGCACACCATTCTTGAGCACAGTTAGACGGAGGCTATGTACTCTTCAGTAATAAATCGAGTTTTATAGATATATTCTCGACGAGCTCTCATCTGGCGAGAGTTTAGAGAAAATTTATCTCAGCTGCAATTTAAAATAAAACTCTCTAATGTAAAATTCGACGACCAACATTACGTGCTGTTGTCAACACATAACAGTAATCAAGATTCTGTGCACAGAGTTATTCTTAACGAGTTCTCATCTGGAAAGATCCTACGACCAGTTATCTCTTCTCCGCCATAGAAAAAACTGACACATTGAGAGGAAGGGGGGAGGCATCATGTTGGACGGCCGCACCCCACTGCATTTCTTTGATGTGAGCGTGGACGTAAGAAAGGTCTTACTTCCTACCTCCATGTATGTGAGCATTGTTGACGTCAGTGTTATGAGGATGAGGTTCTTGAACCTCAAGTGAGGTTTTACTGAGGAATTTTTAGAGAGGATTTTATTTTTGTCTGGAATAATGCCAGCCCCCACACAGCTCAATTGCTCGATGCTACTTTTGGTTATCCTAACGCACTGGGTATCTATGAGCAAAATTTTATTACGAAAATCTAATTTTTTCTGAAATATCAGATATTAAATATTGGTAAATTATAATTTGCACGTCACTTTGTTAAATAGGTTATATAGGTTGTTTCAAAATGACTACGTGATTATATAAATCTTGAGTCGTTGGTCGAAAGCCTATGGTTCCAAATTAAGAAACGAATAAAATAAGGTGCACTCCCAGATTTATACAATTCTAGTCACAAGACACCTATTAATAAAAATATACCCATTTTAATATCTTTATACCGTTTTCTCACATAAAATGCTTCAAATCATTAATATGCTTTACAATCATTAAGTCTGGTAAAAAAAAAAAAAAAAAACCCTCTCCACAAAAGCAAATTTGTCAATAATGTGCTATGCTGATCCAGAAAATATCATCAAAGCTATGTAGTTCAAATAATACACCCGATTACAGGAACAGTTTTAAGGATTGCCTGAAAGCTGAATCTGGTTAAAAAAAAAGTCGGAAAGATTTTTTACTCTCTTGCTGAGCTCGCAGCCTACCAGTCTGCATTTACACTCACTCCTGCTAATCCGCACCTTTTTTCCCTCCCTGGTCTTTTTAGCTTTATTATTAATTGTCGTTTCCTTACGCCATACACAGTTAAACAGCAAAATCACAAAAAGTTTGAAACCTGCCTAGCAGCATAAATTTAGAATTCCCGATGCAGTGTTTCGTTTTGGCATACACTTTTTGTACTTTTTTTCAATCTTTTCTCAGTTCATAACATCAGTGTTGGGGTTTCTTAGTAAGATGGTTTAGAAAAAAAAATTTTTTGTCTTTTTATTATTAATGTTTTTTTGCGTTCACTTTATTTATTAAATATTACGTCCTTCACCCTCACGCCACATAAAATTAAATTCAACAGAACAATCACAAAATATATAAAAACAGCATACCTTTAGAATTTCCGATAGACAATCTCATAGGCTGGAGATAAAAAAGTTCTATTCTGTAGATACGACAAGACTGTAAAGTATGCTGCTTTCATTTCGTTGAGTTTGTTAATGAAAAATTTATGAAACTTAAAAAAAACTATGAAATAAATATTAAATATATATAGCGTCATTTATGAAAATATGAGATATTTTTAAGTAGATAAATCAGGAAGTAAATGAATTTTTATGATTTAAATCAATCCGAATCAAAACTACCCTGGTATGCAAAACATAAGCAACAATGTAAATTTTAATCAGATAGCCATTAAATTGCAGAAAAGAGGTTTTTGCGATCAGTACAATGAACACGCAATTCAGTAGAAAGGTCATGTGAATGCAAATGTCAGAAACAAAACGTCACAGGCGACGTGAGCATATGCAAAACGCGTGCGATCGTAGCGCTCAACTCAAGACTACAATAAAAGGGAGGACGGAGATGCAATTAAAGACATTCGCTGCAAGTACAAATGAGTTCTTTTGTGAAATATGGCTAGAAGAAATCATCTGAATGATTTCACACTTGGCAGAATGATCGGAAAGCTGAAGGAGGGGCGTAGTGTGACCAGTGTAGACTCAGGAGTTCGGAATCAACAAAAGTGTCATTTTACGTGCTTGGAAAACCTTCCAAACCATAGATACAGCTGTCAGAAAAGTTGTTGTTGGCCGCCCCAGGAAACCAACTGCAGTGGATGACCGATATATCGTTCTGCATGCGAAAAGAGTCCGAAACCAGTCTGCAAGAGCCATAGCTCAGGAACTGTGTACAGCAACGGGGCGACAAGTGTCGCTGTTTACTGTGTCCAGACGCCTTCACAAAGGTGACCTATTCTCCCGCCGTCTTGAAAGCTGCATCCCTTTGAAAGTTGGCCATCAGCGCCATCGTTTAGAGTGGTGCAAGTAGCACAAAAACTGAACATCTTATCAATGGAGTCATGTGCTCTTTAAGGATGAGAGTCGTTTTAGTGCCACAAGCGATTCTCAACGCCAACTGATTTAGAGAAAGGTCGGGAGACGTAACATCATAGAAAGAGAAAATTACGGTGGTCCCGAAGTTCTCGTCTGGGAAGGCATTATGCTGAACCGACGGACAGGGCTTTCGACAGAGGTTCTGTAACCGGAGATCGCTATTGTCAGGAGGCGATCCTTTCCCATGTGCACCTGTTTCGAGTGCATGTGCATCTGCCATTGTAGCAGATTCGTTTTTATGGACCACACCGGACTCCTGCTCTTCAGAAACAAGTGGAAACTGAAGATATCATTCGAATGGATTGGCCAGCGTACTCCCTGATTTAAATTCCATAGGACATGCATAGGATGCTTTAGGAAAACGTCTTGCGGCACGATTACATGCTCCGGGGAACACTCAACAACTGGAACAGATGCTGATTGAGGAATTGGCACTCTTACCTCAAGATCTGTTGGACAATATGGTGCTCAGTATGGAGAGGCGGTGCGAAACATCCATTGTAGTAAGGGGAAGGGCATGTCCCGCACTAAGAAACATCTCTTTGTTGTTCTTCCTCTTGTACAGACAATCATGTGTAAAGATACTATGAGTTCAATAAAGCCTTTCTTTTGTTTGAGTCCATACTGTATGCATTGCATTCATTTTTGCGTAACTATGCTTTCGTCATCTTTTAAATACAAAATGCTGCTTCTTAATTCAGAATTTCATGTCTCTTAGATGATTTCTCGGGTAGTTATGGCAAAAAGAACACCTGTTGCTTAAATTTTGCATACCAGTGTAAGAAATGAATATTCTTAAGAACTGCATCTATTGCTTTAAAACAGCTTAGTTTAATAATCTACAACAGACAGATTCAATCTGTAAAATTAATGTCTTACACTTTTGCCGAATAACAGCAGACTCGAATGAAAAGTGAAACGAAGCATTAATAGTGTTGCGACGCAAAATCCCCTTTGGAGACTAATAGCCCTTTTGAGCTAAGAAAGAATTCGAATTCTAACGTTCCTACAAATGGTAATTTGAAATCAAGACTTTCAAATTATTGTTCTCTAATGTATTCTGCATTCAAATTTATAGAAAATGCCGCTTAATCTGATCACGTTAGTCCACAGATATTTTGACAAAATTAACTGAATGATAGTATCTATTGACGAGAAAAAGTATTTTTCGAAATAGCATTGAAATTTAACTAATTTAATATAAATATAATTAAGTATGAAAATAACTGCTCTCGTAGCCATTTATTTACAAAAAAGCGAACGTTTATTCATGAACTGTGTATGATGTCTTTTATGAAAAAGTTCATTCATAAATTGTCAATAAAAAGAACGCTATAATTTTTCAGTTCATTATCCCAAAATCCATTCGTCAAAAAGTATTGGCATCATCCGAGCCTTGAATTATATAGTCTACTGGTTAAAATTTACTCCTTTAAAAGATCGGCGATTTTTTTTCTTTTTCCCATTACTAACAATTTTCTTAACTTACTATAAATATTGACTTAGCGTGAAACGATTTACTATCTTTTGATTTTTTACAAGCTTTCGTTAAATAAATATTTATTTAAGAACGATGAATGATTTCTTTGCTTATCTTTATATAAATGTTTTCAAAATGTCACTTGTAGACAGTTTAGGTCATTCATTTCACAATATATTCTTCCAGCAGGTGAATTAACATCTTTTTCTTAACATAAGGCATTAGTAAACAACGTTTTTCTTCCAGTGGCAAAACCAGCCATATAGTATTATTATTTTAAAATTATCTTTTCTCATTTCTGCAATCAATTCTTCAACTTTTTACCGCATTCAAAGCTGCTAACTGTGGCATCTTTCTGACAAACATTTAAGCCAAAACTTCAGCGCTTTTCGAACAAGACTTTTCCCACTACATATCGTATATAAGCGCAAATATTTTCATTTTTTACTTCCTTTTACGAAGTAAAGGAAATATTGTAAGTGTAAAAAATTCTGAATATCATATTTCAACGGAAATATCCATTTTGACCGCTCCCCAATTTTGACCACTTGCCCAATTTTGTTGCGTGACATCTGTACGTACGGACAGAACGAAGGACTATTTTTTTCGAAAGAGATTGTAAAATGGATTCAAGAGCGATTAGGAAGAGATATTTTTCGTGACGTCTGTACGTACGTACGTCTGTATCTCGCATAACTCAAAAACGAGTAGCCTCTGAACGTTGAAATTTTGTGTCTGGTACTGCTGTAGCATGTAGCTGTCTGCTGTAGCACACTTCCTTTATGCTGATCTCTCTTATCAAGAAAAAGTAGATGGTCTAAAGCCAAATCCTAATCTGCATGCTTTATAATTGATCTAGAACCTAAATTAGGTATTCCTGTGAATGTGAATGCTCAACTTTAGATGAATGTAGCAAATTCAATTTCCTAAAGAAACTGTATATTGTCCTGTGTTTTGGTTCAGTGAGTTTAGTGACACACCGCTGAAAAATTAAACTTTGTAACTAAAATTGTTGCCGCAATATGTGACTATTGGTTGCTTCCTATCAGTAATATGTGGAGGAACTATTCTTGTTTTTACTCTTCACAGAGCTATTCGTCAGCGGCGGCAAAAACTAAAGAAAGAAATGGTTTATACAGTTATCAAAGTTATAAATTCAAAATGATGGCTATGAAAATTAGTGAAACCTAAAGGTTTGTTATGCTTAAACTTAAATGGAAGTGCCATTTGAATTTCGTACATAAATATTTATAAATTCATTTTCTTTTTTATAAAAGAGTTTGTGGTGTAAAATTATACTTGTCTGTATGCAATGGATATAAAAAAAGCTGTTTATTTTCGTATAGTTTGTATATCAACTATTGTGTGTATGATCTAATACTTGTTTATCAGATCATAAATATTCCAGTTGCATTGTGCTTAACTCCTGTTTGTATTTGTTGACATTTTGAAGACAAATATTTTAATTCCCTATGGAAAGACAAATGTTACTTGTCTAACTGGAAAAGAAATCTGCATATATTGACTTTTTTTTAAATGTCAGAGTGTGTTTTGTGTACATATTGGTCAAGAAGCATCTGCATTAAGAGCTACGTAAGATCGCATGATTAATTTGAATGACGCAGTTTAGACTTAAGCGCTATTTTTAGGACAGAGAGATGAAGTTCCCAAATGAAATAAACAATAAAAGAGGTTATATTGCATTAAATTTAGAAGTTCACTTTCATATTTTTTAGCTTACACATTATTTATTTAATTATTGCTGGTCAAAATTTTATGATTTATGATTTATTTATTTATTTATTATTTTTTTTCCCATTTGCTAGTGCTTCAACGCTTTTTCTTTTAAAAAGGCTTCTCTGTCGCTACGTCTTTTTTTCTTGAAGGGGGATATGTAAGAAAATAAAGATAAAATAAAAATATATATAAAAGATTAAAGTATATAAAAGATTAAATTAGCAACGTAAATTTCCCTCCTCTATTCTAAAAATAGTAACCTCTCTCTGGACTGCGTCATTTCAAGTAAAATCCATGTCATATGATTCTTACGTATTTCTGATGATGTAAATGAAACTAAGATTCAAACAGTGAATAGAAATTTTACAGCAATATTAACTATCCAATCAAAATGCTTTGAGAACCAAAACTAATTTAGTTTGACTTCAGATTTCATCCTGAACATTACGCACTTGCTTTCCGCGCTTTTACCTAGCTACACTGCTGTCTGTCTGCTTCTTCGTTTTTGCTACAAATATATAAAAAAATGTAAGCCTTTTGGAACAGGCATTTAATGTGCCGACATGTGTGTAGCCGCAACAGGCTGCTCAAAATAAAACTGAAGATATAATCTGCCTTCGCCTCCAATTTCCTGAGATTTAATATATTAAATATATTGAATATATTATATATGTATATACCCACACTGTTACCCGGCTCGGTGAGCTGAGTATGTTTAGTCTTGTATGTTGGTAAATCGCGCATTTTGTTTCTTTAAAAGTGATTGAATTATGTTCTTATATTCCGGTAAAGGTTTCTGTCCCTTTAATTAAACTTCGTGCAAAAATTACAGAATTATCAACAAGGTGGCGGCCGTTTGTTTACATTTGAAAAGTTTAGTAGTATAGTGAATTACGGTGAGTTGGTGCACCAGCTCAGCGTTTTTTGGCTAGTGGAACCAAAAGTTAACTTTCAGTTTTGTGCGCCGAAAGTTACGTCTTCCTTCCGTTAGCCAAATTACTTGTTCTGGTGTTTCATTTGAATTATAAAAATTGCTTTTTTAAACTGTTTTTAAATGTATTTGGTGTTTTAGGTTTTTCTGTATTTTAGAAGTTTTAATGAACATATTGCGAGTTTTTATGTGTTTTTGCATGGTCCGAAAGTGAGAACTGAATGTATTGAATGAGAGCTATATCTCTAATGAAATTCTAGGAAATAAGGTAAAATAAAGTGCAGTATAAATGTGTATGATTTAATAGGACGAGCAGGGAACGGTTCGAATTTATATTATTTGTGGAGAAAGTACCTAACTTCTCGCATAGCGTCTCATTGTGATCTGAGCCCACGTCAAACTAAATACGTTTAGAGGCTTTACAGCTTAGCTGCCGGTCACCTTGCATGTTTGAAGCTAGAATTACGAAATTAGAAAAATTCGATTCAATTCAGTAACTGGAGTTTTGTATAAAACAGATTACTACTTTGATAGTTTTTTACTGCACTTCATCTGTGCTCAACAGTGAATTCTTAATCAGCGGGTTTATTAATACGTAAAGTAGCAGTGTGTTTATCAGATTGAAATATCTAAAATATGGCACATCCGTTCCACAGTCAAACGATTTCCAGAATTTAATTTTGTCCTTACCTTTTCAAGGACTAAATTTCAATGAGTTCCATTAATCCTTGTATTTTAAGTTTGCGTGAACTGACAGTCAAAATATGTTTGCTTTCACTTTTGTCTCTTTATTAATTTCTTTAATTTTTTTTTTTTTTGTTTTTTGCGGGATCTATTAGCTTAAGAACTTTCCAAATTTTTAAAACTTCATTTTGAAAATTTTGAAATTCGCCAAATAGCGTTGTATCGCCAAATCTAGTAGTTTTTCGCAATTTTTAACACCTTTCTATAAAATATTAGCAGCTATTTTTTTTACCCTTACGTATTACAAAAAAGTGAGTAGATTCACACCTATTTTCCCCCCCAAAAAACGGAGAGTTCAGGATTGGATTGGAAGACCTTGTTTGTTAGTTTTGTCGTCATTGCATTTATTGCGAATTTCTTTGGCATTAAGAAATAATTACTGGTCAAAGAAGATTTACTTTACCCTTCACTCACTCAAAAGATCATGAGTATATGAAAGTGTTCTCAGGTTTTATCCATTTTAAACAAGAAAATTACTTAAATGACGTATCCATATTATCAGTAGCAGACTGGAAATGCTATTCTTCTCTTCTAAACCTTTAATCCTGTTTATCTTGAAGTAAATATTCAGCTTCTGTTGTTTGAAGTTGTGGTATTTAAATTTTCTTAGAGTTCAAAATTTAGACGTTCTCATAAATTTGGGAAACTCCCTTTAGATTCTGATTTAATCCTTGAAAATGAAAATAGGTCTTAAAAATGAGTGATTTTAAACTAAGAAAAGAAACTTAACTCTTTGTTTTAAAAATTACTGCTGGGTCGAAGATTGCTAAGAATCTCCGGAGTGTTGAGGATCATCTTCCAACAGTTGAAAACCAAGATGTAGCTGTGCTCCTTGTACACAAATAAACATACAGAACAGAACAAATATGAGTTGCCTAATGCGTAATGTTGGGTTATGAAAAGAATGCTTTACCCTGTACCATGCGATGTAAAATATGTTTCATATAATAAAGTTTTCCAGAATAATAGGTGTGCTTATCGTAAGTCTATCGCTACGTGTGGATATATATATCCTACCATTAAATACGGCTGGGACGTATGTGGCCCAGCCTTTGGCTTGAAACCCGTTTGCCAAACAAATTCGAAATGATACATTTACGTTATTTATGACATATTTTGTCACTTGGGTGGGAAACGGGGTAATTTTTTTAAATTCTACTTTAAGGTCAGAGGTAATATATCTACTTTAAGTCAGAGGGTTAAGCTTCAACTTGGACAACATAAGGTTCTACGTTTCACGTTGCTACATTTACCTTCTTAAATATTCAAGTTCCACAGCCAAAACTGATGTGTTTTAGTCATGAAATGAAGCTCAGGATTGCAGTTTAGATCGTATAGTTCTTTATGTTAGGACGTTCGTATAATCTTAAATTAATTAAACACTCCCAAATGTTATATGTCACAAATATGTATGCTTAATATTCAGACATTGCCGTTAAGAACACGTCACTTTTTTACAGGAAAAAGAATGCTTACGAACCAGGCAACAACTTTCATTGATTGTTCGTTTATGTATGGTGTAACTGAAGAAGCAGCAAGGAAACTAAGAACACTTGATGGAACAGGTAAGTCCACTAAATGAATTGTATTCAAAATAAAGTTTAAACTTCAGCTACGTTTAGTCATTACTTCTAAATTTATTTTTTGAAATCATTGCATTTAATGTTATTAACTGCCCATAAGTCACAACGTGAATATTACATTGAAGAAAAGAATAGCTTATAAAACCGGAATGAAAGTATAAATACCAATGATTTAATTTAATGTAAAGTATAACACCTTTGTTGTATAGATGTAAATATTCGTGAACCAGGAAATATTATGTAATTTATTCAAAGAACAGACTTTACTTGCCTTAATGCATTGACTGCCACAGCACAATATGTAAAATACCTTGTAGGGCCATTTTTTTAATTCTAGTGGTTTTCTTGTCCCATTTATCTTGAAAATGACTTCAGTACCTACGTTTTTTGTTTGAACTCCTAATAATTAAGTAAGTAAAAGCTACTGAAGGAAAATATATATTAAAATCATATAACAGTTTATAGAAAAAATCTTCTGAGAACGGAAACCAAGAATACGAAGCAACTTTCCGTAGAAATAATTTTAACCTTATAAATCTGTGAAAAGCCATGTGAAGCACCGATGCCTCACACGGCTTTAAACAGTACAAAACTTGTGAATCGTATTCGATGCACACGGTAAGTTAGGCTCCTGTGAATCATCGGTGATGCACATGACAGGCAAGGTGTTAATTAACTTCAAAGTAAAGCAAGTGTACCTACAACGGGCCATACATCTAGGACGCATGCGAAAGATAAGCTTCAAGGGTCATAAATGTTTGAAAAAATGATTTTTTAATACAAATATCTGTTTATGGAAGTACAACATCAGTACCCTGCTAGATTATGGGTTGGAAGAGGGCTTCCTAGAAATGGTCAAACAAAGACATTTTTAGGTCTTTCTTACTGTTCTAAGAGACAAATATTCATTCAATAATATTTTCACTAAAAGCATATATCACTTCGAATTAAACTCTCAGAATGATCTACAATCTGCTCGACTGCATAGCTCGCACAAAAAAAAAAAAAAAAAAAAAAAAAAAAAAAAAAGAAAAAAAAAAGGGGGGGGGGGTGGAAATTTTATCTATCGTTCTACTGGGCCGATTAACGAAATTTAACTTGCGTTTTCCATGTGTCGGAAAGAACTATTTACATATATTAGATTTATATGTAGCATCCTTCTAACATAGGTATTTTGAAACAAAATCTCACATTTTTTGAAATGACATGCCAATGTTTTCCACATTTCGATTCTACGACTCGTTCCAAAGTGGTGCCTATTTTTGTAAAAACTGCACGAGTATTTTTTTAACAGTTAGCTCTCAAAAAATGTAAGCGCCTCAGTGTTAATCGAATTTCGTATATATTTATTAATACCTCTTTTTTATTAATTGATTCGTTCTTTTATAACTCGAAATTTAGTTCCAATCCAAATAAAGTTATCAATTTTTTTTTTATTTAATTTTAAAATTTGGATGTTTTAGTAATTTTTATAAATTTTACAAAAAACGTTTTGAATTATAATCTATAAAACTTTTGCTATCACCTTAAAGTAGATATATTTTTAGGTGCACCTGTAAAAAATTAAAATTTTTATTTAACAGTTCCAAAGATATACATGAATTTATATATACTGGCGCATTTTTGAATTTGGTATATTTGTTATAAGCAGTAATAACGCCAAATGTGCTTTACGCATTTTGTTAAAATTACTTGAAAAAATGAACGATGTACTTTTTTTCCGATCGTGCATAGTGAAAATAAAAGAAAAGAAAGTAAGTTAATATAAATTAATATTTCAACCAAGTGAATTTTTCTTGGCGCAAACTGTCCCGCGAACGGGCTGGCTGCATGGGTGTTTTCGTGGTTTTCCCCATGTGTAACGTGTATACGAGCCAGTTCCCTTAAAAAGTCCTCCACGAAGGCATCCCTCCCTTAAGGCAGATAGCCCTCGAGTGCTTTGCCGTAATTTAATAAACCAAACCAAACCAAACTTGGCGCAAACTGAAAAAAGTGTGGCAAGATAAATTTTTAAATTGTTCGGTACCACATAATATCTATAACCTTCTTAAAAGTTTCTTGAACGAGAGGACTGATGAGCTTCAGCTTGGGAACGAAGCTAAGGTTTATTCTCTAGAAAAAGGCTGTCTTCAAGGCTCTGTATCCGGACCTACTCTTTGGAACATAATCATAAATGATCCTTTAAGTCATCTCGACGGTTGTTTAAAAATTGCGTTTGCAGACGACTTACTATTAATTTTCCAAGGAAGGATTCTGAATAACATTCTTTTGAGAGCACAAGAAGTTCTAGATTTTGTCTCCAGCTGGGCGATTTCTCACAAACTCACTTTCAATCCTTCAAAAAGTAAAGCTATGCTTGTTCCCAGTACGTTTGATGAACAAAATATTGCTTCTTTGATGCTCGATAATTCTCCGTAGGAATTTGTAGAAAATGTTAAATATCTTGGTGTCATTCTTGACCAAAAATTAACATGGAAAAAGCACATTGAATTCCTTTCTGCTAAATGTGAAAAAAATTATTAATGGCTTTCACCGAATTGCCAAAAATACTTTTGGAGTAAGCTACGATGTTAAGAAACTCATGTATAAGCAGTGTATTGTACCTTTCATTTCGTACGGCTGTCGTGCTTGGGGACATGTTCTTGCCAAGAAGGTTAACAAAAGAAATTTAAGAAAGATTCAACGGAGAATTCTTCTTCGTATTATTAGTGGTTATAGAACCTTAAGCTATGAGGCTGCTTTTGTTCTTGCAGGAGTTCCGCCTATTGATTTTGAAATTGCATATAAGAATAATATTTTTCAGTCATTGGCAACTCATGCTTCGGAAGACTGTATTAATGGAATTGTCCCCTTCACTGATCTTCCTCATCCCGCTGCTTTAGAACCCATAAATTTCTGCGATTATAAAGAAACTGCTGAAATAAGTTTTCATATGGTTTTCTTTTTCAGATGGCAGCAAGATGAACACAAGGTTGGCCTTGCATTTGTTCTTTTTGAAGGCCATTCCGAGATTTGTTTTCTTAGACACCGTATACGAAATGAATGTACAGTTTTTCAAGCAGAACTGTGCATTTATCTTGCCGTCAAATGGATCCAGGATCATGAGACAACATCCTCAAAGTACCTTATTTGTTCTGATTCTCTTTCTTCTCTTCAACCTTTGAACAGTATTACCAGCTGCGATAAATTAGTTATCGAAACCCTAGTAATTGTTAGTTCACTTAGAATTAGAGGTATTGATATCTGCTTTGCTTATGTGCGTGCTCATCATGGTTTCTACGGAAATGAAAGAGCTGATTTCTTAGCTAAAGATGCCTTAAATTTACCCATTGATATCAACATTAGCATTCCAAAGAGTTATTGGAAGTCCTTTCATTACAAAAAGCTTTTTAGCTATGTGGAATGAGGAATACATTTCCTCTTGTAATGCTGAAGTCACCAAAAAGTTCCTTCCTTCTATTTACCATAGACTGAATTCCGAGTCTTTCCTCCTCGTTAAATTTTAAAGTGTCTCAGTTTTTATCTGGTCACGGTAAATTTGCAAGTTATCTGTTTCGTTTTAATCTACGATCAAACAATTTGTGGTGAATGTTTCAAAAAGAGTTCCTCAGGATGTGGAAAATTTGATTTACTCGTGCCCTACATTTGATGGCCCTAGATTATGCTTACAGAACGATTTGAAAATGTTCGGAGTGACTTGGCCAGTGAACTTATCTGTTTTCGTGAAGTCCAGACTGCTGTTCTCTGCTTTTGTTCGCTTTATTTATGCATGTAATTTTTAATGTTTATTTATACATGTAACCTTTAATATTCTAGTTAACTTACTTCTGTAAGCCCCGTGTTGTACATATGTGGTGCACGGGGAGTCTGTATGTTCTGAAAGAAAAAGGGGGAAAAAAAAAAAACCTCAGAAATTTTATAAAATTTAATATTTGAGCATAATTTGAGTTGTAGAATCGAAATTTGGAAAGAAGACGCTATGCCATTTCAGAAAAAATTCGATTTTCTGTCAAATTACCTGTGTTAGAACAATGCTATATAGAAATCTAATATATATCCTAAGTCGCGCTTTGGAAACATAAAAAATGCACTCTGAATTTCGTCAATCTATCCAGTAGAACGGAAGATGTAGAACTTTGCCATTTTTTTCGCAGTGTACGTTAATAAAATGTACATATTGTGCGTTTATTAGCTTACGGATTTGGAGTAATTGACGGTAACACTTGGCGAAGAATCAAAACACAATTTATTCGGTTGTAAGCACTATTACGCAGGGCAGTTCCAAAGGCACATTTACATACGTCAAAAAACTACGACAAACACGTTGAAACACTCAGCAATACAACCTTCAGGCTGCAACGGGGAAGACAGCTTCACGGCAAAGAACTAAAGTAGAGACTCGGTACTCTCGACTCGGTTGCTCGCTCTAAAGCTAATCTCTGAATTCAAGTCACTACTTTTTACCCATTCAGGCTAAGTATATATAGCTTCAACTTACCTTCGAGAATCTTCCCGAGAAAACCGCTAATAATATCAATGTTCAGTTTGCTTACTAAAATGGCTTTACAAAACTAGTTTTTATCTTTTTATTATTAACGGTTTGTGTGTTCACTTAATTTATTAAATATCACGTTCTTGGTGCTTTCGCTACATAAAATTCGATTCAACAAAAAAATCGCAAAATATTTAAATATAGCATATCTTTAGGATTTCGGATAGACAGTCTCTCGCGTTGGAGATAAAAATGTTTTATTCCCGTAGAGGGTTTCCACTGCTCGCCTTGAAATCATTGAGATTTTTAATAAAAATTCGTTAAAGTTTTACAAAATATGAAATACATAACAAAACAAATTCGAAATTGCAAGTGCGGGCTCCCAGGTGCCCATGTTCGGATGAGGACTACGTTATTCAAAGTATGATGGCTCTAACTATTGTTTTTTCACAGTACAAGAAACAGGCATACATTCATGCAGATTCTTCATTATTTAATTGCTTGCTGTTTTAAGATTTAATTGTTTGCTGTTTTAATATCTAATTTGGGATTAACGTCTCTTTTGGGCTTTAAAAATTCAAACAAAATATTAAAAAACAAATAATAAGTTTTCATAAATCATAATAAATAAAATGAAAAAAACCATTGTTTTATTGTTTGTTATATATTCTACTTTGATGTCCATTTGATAATAATTCTATTTCACGTCGATAATAATAATTGAAACTTATCCTATTATAATGAATTATGAAATATCTGGGTTGGACAAATTTGTCTGTTCTTGACTCATAAATTTTAATCGTACATATTTGTATGGTTATTCGATTTGAAATTTTCTTGTAAGTGAAAGTAAACATTTGCGGTGAGTTCGTGTTTAATGCTTTTTCTCTCTCCTTACAAGGAAAATTACTCACACAGCGGGGCAATCTGATGCCCAAAAGAGTTAAGGTAGACAGAGATATAAATTGCATGGTGGATTTCAAGAAATATTGCTTCGAATCAGGTAAGACCTCAAATTGATATCGGATGATATGGATTCGCTCCATATCGATGCTTTTATGATTTTTTTAAAATTTAAATTTTAAGATGTTTAATTTGAAATTCAGTAAAAATTTATGCATTATGCAAGTTGATTGATTTCTGATGACTTATTGTGCCAACAATTCACCTACAGCAGTTTATTACAAATTCTTACACTAAGGAACAAGTTACAGAAATGTGTATGTTCATGTACTAACTGGAATTACGTAGTTGAGGAAAAGTGCGAGCTAGGCTATCTGTCTAAAACGTAATCAATCCCTGAGAATCAATCATCTGATAAATATTCACGAAAATTACTATTCAATACAATTGTCTTCAAAGAAAAGCACAATGTAATGGCAAAATAAATTAACAACAAAATGAGAAAATCTTATTATTCGTTACTTATGGCTATGTAACGTTTTGTTGATACAGGATGGTACGCCATATAAAATTAATAGAATTCAAGAAAGGAATGGAGTTGGTGTATAAATGAATTCGGAGCAGAAGCATTGGTTTAGTGTAGGCAGAGTCGTAGCTAGGGTTTTCAGACAACTAAAGATGGACAATTAAAGATGAGACAACTGAAGACAACAACCGCTACTGCTTGCCAAGGATGGAAAACATTTACTTCTAAAATGTCGTAACATCAGTTTGGCGCCCCTTGGATTCTGGGCCCGGGGACAGATGCCGCCCTTGCCCCCCTCTAGCTGCGCCCCGGAGTGTAGGAAAGGGTGCTTCTTGGATTTGAACGCCAAATATCAGTGCTAGTACTGGTTTTCTTGTAACCTCAAATCGACTGTGTTGCCTCAGTGTTGTATCAACCATTTTTATTCCCTTGTAAGTTAAATGTTTATTCCCTTGTAAGTTAATGTCCCTTGTAAGTTTATTCCCTTGTAAGTTTTATTCCCTTGTAAGTAAAGGAAGTTTTGTAATCGCGAAAAGTTTAAGGTATCAGATTTTAACAAAAATATCCATTTCGACCGCTCTCAAATCCATTTGAACGATGGTTTTGCGTGATGTCTGGACCTACGAACAGAACAAAGGAACATTTTTTCCAAAAACGGTTGTAAAGTGGATTTAATATCGGTTCAGAAGAAACTTTTTTCCTCCGAGATACGTACGTACGTTTTTCCGAGATACGTACGTACGTACCTCGCATAACTCAGAAACGAGTAGCTTCAGAACTTTGAAATTTCGTTATGCGACTGCTGTAAACATGTAGTTAGACCTTGGTTCGATTCCCAGCGAACGGGTTACTTGCATGAGTGTTTTTATGGATGCGAGCCTGTTTTTCTTATGAAATCCTCCACGAGGGCATCCCTTCCGCCAGACATATAGCCATTGGCTTTGTTATTTTCAAATAAAACAGACCAATCGTAATTTTCGTTTTAAATATTTCTTACAAATTTTAAAAATGTCTTATAATTTTTCTCGCAATGTATGATGCTGCTAGGAAGTGTAATTATACAGTTTGTTTGGAAAATGATTACAGAACTATGTAATTTCCTCTCAAACAGTTTGTGCTTCTAATTAAACAAATGAAACAAATAACATAAGTTTTAGGTTACTGCAATTGTGCCACATGGAACATTTTACTAAAAATAAATTTTGAATTTAATGTAATGTATGGATATTCATTTGGACATTATACGCAGAGAGCTCTAATTAGTAAGCTCATCCTTATCCTGCTAAATATTTTTTATAAGAACGTTGGTTGTGTAATATGCGGAACTGGTCCTAAAAATTATAATTGGTCGGATAAAATATATTCTTTTCGGCAAATTTTCAGTGGAATATTTGAAGCCTATGCTTTCGTTTTCCCGTGTCAGTAGTGAAAAAGGTACTTTTCAGGAATTTGCAATTGAAAGTTAACATCCAGATCACATTTGCAGCAATATTTATGGATGATGCCAAAAATATTTGATTAATGATCTTCGAAATAATATACATCGCATGATAACGGCTCTCGAATGGATTGCTTGGATAATAGGAGAGCACATAAGGGTTATCTGACCATGCGGAGGAACATCTTTGTGGAGGACGTTATAAGGAAAACTGGCTTGAATTCACGTTATACATGAAGAAGAATTGAAACCGTCCACTCAGCCAATTCGTTCTGGATTTGAACCTTGGTCCAAACACTAGTATTCAGTGAACTTACCTCACAGGCATTGGATCAAGAATGAATCAAATTCGACTGAAAATTTGTCGTTGCCCTTTTTTGTCCAGGAGACAATTAAAAATGTCCGCTTTGTGTAATTTTATTAAAAATGTCAATTTTGTCTTACTTGTCTATTTAAAAAAAATTGAAAACGTTGTATCTCTAACCATTTATTACAAAGGTGTACACCCCAGTAGATGTTTTGAAACACATGATTAATCAGATTACATAGATAAAAAGAGTTGTGACGAATTCATGAATTTAATTTATTTGGAAGGACTACATGAATTTTAGGCTTTCGGAAAAAGTACTCATGACAGAAACTTAACAATTTACTAGCATAAAGCACGGGCTTTGTTTGACTTTTCTAAATGAAAGTAGTTTAACGACTAATTATATATGATATTGAGGCTTTTTGTATTATACATACCTTACTTCACTAGGTGAAAATATTTGATGTGGACACCGCATGACTTCCTTGTACTGCCTATTAACTTATGCACATTTTTTCTGAACATCATTTAACACTGCATTGCTGCACTTAATAAAAACGCAGAACAACTTTATTAAAAATTGTAAAATACGGAAAAACCTAAAACATCAAATGAAACTAAAAAAAGTTAAGGGAAAAAAACTGTTTTTACAATAAAAGTTTCTATGCAAAAGTAAGCATTTCGGACAACGAAAGAAAGACAAAATTTTCGGTGCGCAAAACTGAAAGCTAACTTTTGGTCCCATTGGGCAAAAAGACATTAAAATGTGGTGCACCAAATGACTTAATTCATTCTTCTATTAAGAGTTTCAGACGAAAACAAATGGTTGGCTCGTTAAGCCTAGCGTCATTTAAACTTTTAAATTGTGGATAGTTCTACAGCTATTACATGTGGATTAACTAAGGGCATGAAAACCTTAACTGGACCATAAGAAAACACAGTTCAACCAATTGAAACGAAAAATGTATAATTTACCAACATATAAAAGTAAAAATACTGAGCTCCCTGAGCCGGGTAACAAGGTGGGAATATATATGTTTTGTGCAGCCTATTGCAACGAAAAAGGGAGGTGCATAACGACAGGTTATAGCAATGCCATATACAAAATTCCAACATTCTATGAGTGCTCGTTATGCCAAATACATACATACGTACTTACGTACGTACAGACGGGACGAAAAAATCTCTTTTGAATCCACTTTAAGTCCATTTTATATTCCGCTTTGGAAAAAAAAGAAAGAGTCCTTTATTCTGTTCATACTTATAGACGTCATGAAAAAACATCCTTCAATAGATTGGAGAATGGTCAAAGTGGCCATTTTTATTCAAATATGATACTCAACATGTTTTGCGATTACAATACTGCCTTTATACAAAATTTCCTTTACTTCGTACAAGGAAGTGAAAAGAATGAGATTAAAAAAGTGAGGATTAAAGTAAGATATTTAAAAAGGAGAGGCTTAAATTAAATCTCGGGGAAAAAAGGATTCTTAGATTAACAAAAATACTAGTATATCAAATTACAGAAATATTGCCTTAAATTGAATATATTCTTGTAGCATCTATGATATCTAAGTACTGAATAAATCTTTTGAAGACAAAATATTGAAGAACATTTCAGCGTAGATACAAAAGTAATAGAACTTAGTCAAAAATAACTAAGAAGGATTAAACTTAGGGTTTAACATTTATTCAATACATTTAACATATAGAGTCATGCTCTTAGATAAAAAGACCGGAGGCTTAAATTCATTGGATCATTTGAAAGATTTTCGGAATAACTCGGAATTACATTTTGCACTGTTATTAGAACTTTACACTATAATTAATTTGTTAATCAATTTTATTTGTTCGTAACAATTTATGTTATTCAAATGAAGCATACGCAAACAATAAACAGCATAATTAAATACTGGAATGTTAAAAGCTTCTTTACTTTAACTGTTTGAAGGAAGCAATCTAAAAATGTAGACGCACCAGAATAAATAAATTTGTTGGATCTCATTTTCAGAAGTGATGAAGATCTAGATCTGAGGTGTGTAGCCATTTCAATAATAATAGACAAGTTTGGCACTAAATGTTTCGAGACGAGAGTTTTGCATTTCAAGCTTACATTTAAATATCAGAATGTTTTACTATTGCTTTATTTAAAACTATGATGCTATTTAGTTTTTTTTTTTTTTTTTTTTTTTTTTTTTTTTTTTTGTGTGTGTGTGTGCTTGGAATAATTTAGTTTTAATTAATTTTTTTTCAGGTGATTCTAGAGGAAACCAACACACTATTTTGGCATCCTTACACAATCTTTTCGTTAGAGAACATAACAGAATAGCTACTCAGTTGAAAATTCTGAATCCTCATTGGGATGGAGAAACCAATATTCCAAGAAACAAGGTTGGAAATTATTAAAGAAAATATTTTACCTATGCTGAGGATAACGATAGGCTATTTTTAATTTTAATATAATTTTTAAGATTAAAAAATGTTAACAGACCATAAACTTGTAGAGACATTAGGTATTTTTGGAAGCAGGTAAGATGAAAAATTAGCAACGCTTTCGCCGGGAATCGAACCGTGGACTTCTGGAATACCGGGCTAGCGTGCAGACCACTACACCACGAAGGCACGCTAGGAAGGCGGGATAAATACCTTGTAAACTAACAAACATTACCATGTAAAATCTAACGAAATGTAACATATAAGGCGTGGAAATCCAAGCAACATAAAAGACATGTTAAATCTCAAACAACAACTGACTTGGATAATGATTAGTGACCCTGACTGCCATACCGAAGGGTACGGCTTCGAACCCCGGAGAATGCATAGTTGTTTGTAAATGTAATTATATCTGTACGGCATAGGGCACTCTAAATATGCGGAGAGCCGAAAGTCTTCTCAAGAGGTTGTGGTAGAGGAAGAAGGGTGAGAGACCCTCGGACCCGACCCCAGGGTGCTCTTCCTCGAAACTGATGCAGCACTGAGCTTAAGTAGGGGTGTCACCTATATAGAGTTCAATGCTCATGCCAACGACAGGCGCATTGGCTCCTTGCCACAATGAATGTCGTGGGTATGTGCTGACTGCTGTTAGGTTAGGCAAGTGAGGTTGGTAACATCAACAATTTAACTCTTGTTTTTGGTACTCTATGTAGAAAGGCTGTTCGCACATTTTTTAGACGATGCGATTTTAGTTTGCTATGAAAAAAAAATCTTCTAGTTGGAAATTTTTCTAACTGCAACTATATTTTTGTAAAATAAATTACCGTCTGCTACTCGACAGTTTTGTCTTAATGCAATATAAAAAAGCTATGGGTGGAAGGCTTTGTTTTTGCTCTTTCCGAAGAAATTTATTCTTATCTAGTTTTTAAAAAACTCTGTGAAGGCCTCGATTTTTCGAAATCTAAAGCCATGATAGGTAATACTGTCAACAAGACAGGATAAAAACGTCAAAATTCAGCTTGTATTCAAGATTAAAATACGTATTCAAGATTAAAATGTAATGCTTCGAATGTCCCAAAGTTAAGGTTTGTAATGTTAAAAGAAAATCGAAAAATCAAAGGACAGTCCAAAATCATTAATGTGCTCAGTGTCATCTGTAAGCAAAGTTGTTAATGCTGATTTGAATCTTAAAAAGGTGTAGAAATACGTATAATGTGCTTTGACCTTTTTCCACGACATATCGCTGAACGCAGAACGTGCTGCAGAGTTCTTTACGAGAAACCTTTATCGGACGAAAACGGAAACATTTTGCCACAGTAGATGGATCTTGGGTGTATTTAAAAGTCTAATAAAAAGAGATACATTTATTATTGTCATCAAAGAGGAGAAAATAATCTTAAAACATGGTTTAAAGAATTTAAAAAAAAGATTTGAAAGGAATTTATTGTTGTTAGTTTGTCACCTAACGGGAAATTAAAAATAAGGAGAGTGGAGAAAAATTTTAAGATCAAATCCATATATTATCAGGAACGTATCTGATACCTTGTTTTCAAATATGAAATTTCCCCTTACCTCGAATGTCATCAATCAGAAGAACTGCATCAAGACAAAGCAAACATCCACACCTTAAAATCCAGTCTTCATTTCCTGGGAAAAGGGAACAAGAAACGGGTATCAAGATCATAGCCTTCACTCATATCTCTACCAAATCACACCTGATGTATCATCCATGGCCTTTTTTTTTTGCGCTTTTGGGCTTTTAAAAAGCAGAAAATCGACCTTACAAACCTCTTTGGACATTGGAAAGCTGTTCAAGACGAATATGATAAAACTAGAAAGCCCGGCGATCATACGAAATGACCGCTGTTCTAGATATTATAAATTGTAATTATCATGATTTGCTCAAAAGTGTTTGCCAATTCAAACTGAATTACCCAGGGCAGGCGGCGAGGACGCCCCTTTGCTTACTGCCCCACGGGGTTTCCACCTTCTACTTGCTTAATTGCTTAAGAGTGCAATGAACTGGCGGTACATTTAAATAATAAAATGTTAATTCACATCTCAAAGATCTATTTGTACACAACATTTCTTGTGTAGATCTTTCCATCATTTTTAAGCTCGCCTTTCAGAGGACCATCCATTATTTTTAATTTTACGTCCGTTCTTTCGCGAACTCTTGAACAGGCAACATAAAGTTGACCGTGTCCAAATGCAGGGTCAGGTAAAAAAATGCCAACACGCTTAAGCGTTTGGCCTTGAGACGTATGGATGGTTATAGCAAAGGCAGGTTTTACAGGAAATTGCCTACGTCTCTGTACGGCAACCCTGTGCCGTGGCAACTTCAACCCATTGGCTAGTATAGTTACACAAGCAACCAATAAACTATCGGCGACAAATAGACACTTAATCCGCATATATATATGGGGTGAAGTAACATCATCTCCTCCGAAACGGCTGGCTCCCGAGCTTAGCGAAGCACACCGTTGGAATTCGCAGTTCCGTGGCACGCCATTTTGACCAATCGCGTCTTCGTGGTACATTAATTAGCCGAGATATTAATTAAAAACTAATTTTCCCTACATTTTCCACTTTCTTTCTTGGGTTTTCCCTATTAGAGGGATTTGGCTACATGCCAAATTCTTTTTTCTCGAATATCTACGGAACGACGCGTACCCTCGGATTTCAAAAAATTCTCCGAATCCATCGATACCATTGTCATCTTTGTATGACTTTAATCGGCCGAGATATTAATTAAAAATAGCGGAAACGTTAATTTTCACGCTCATTTTTCCGAGTGGCAAAAATAAACTTTCGGCGACAAACACTTCAGCCGCTTATAAAGATACCTTTTCCAATAACGCAAAACGCTTTATTGTCTTGAAAATGACTTTGTAGAAGAAGAATAAGGGTTTAGCACCTTTAAAACGCAAAAAGTTTAGGTAAAATATTACTGTACATACAATAAAAATCGTCTAAAATGTGCGAACAGCCTCTGTAAAATGTTTCGACGAAACAAAAAATGCGCGTCCGTGCGACCACTCCTTCTCCAAACATTTGTTGAAACGGTTTACGAACATTCTATACAGCAAGCAGTATAATATATCTTTGTAACTGTATATTATTGTAACTATATATTTTGTATTTCTCTCTGAACTATGCATTCTGCTTATCTATTGATATTCCTTTTCTTATTTTCTACAGGAAGCTTGTGGGCGCAATAATGCAGAGTATTGTGTACAAGGAGTTCCTACCTTTGCTCATAGGGCCAACTCGAATGTGGGAATTTGATTTGTGGCCCAACACTTCGCACTATGATCCCACTGTCAATCCAGAACAGATTTCAGAATTCAACACGGCTGCCTTCCGCTTGCACAGCACAGTCAACACTCCACTCTACGAAAATGGAACAAACAGTGTGGTCAGACTAAGAGACACTTTCATGATTCATAAACCCATCCACGACGGTTGTTTTGGAAAATTCTTGCAAGGAGCATCTAAATTTCCGGCTCATAAATATGGTCGACATCATGTGGATGATGCTACTAAGTATTTGTACAAGTACATATCAAATTCTGCTATTTAGTGTAATTAACATCAATTTTTCAGATAACAGTTTTATAGCTAACTGGGAAAATAATTTTAGAAAACAGTAGAAATAAATCTATTATTAGTGTTACTTAGAAGAGTACTACTTAAAATGATGAAAACAAGTCATAAACATATTATCTAAACATATTATCAAAGCATAAGTTTTGGGTTTGTCTTACATTTTGAGTTAAAAATGTGTTAAATTTCAGGATTACTGAATATCTTTGCACAAAAATATTTATCAATATTTTACTTTTATTTTTTGTCATTTATATTTACTATGGTATAAGGAATTAAACGATTTAGAATCTAAGAGATAAAGTGAAATGTCTGTTAAATATATTTGTTTGAGTACATGCATTATCTATTTTTCTAAATGTTTCTCTCTTTTCTTAACAAAATTGTCTAAACAAATTTTTCGATATGTATATAAACCTAAACTTTTCACACTATTTTATAGAATATTTGTGGAAAGTTTTATAAAATTACTATAGTAATATTTTAAGTGTTTTCGTAATAGAAAAGTTGAAAAAAATCAAGTTATTCAAAAAATGGGTTTAATATAAGGAAAACAGAAACAAAAGGAAAAGAAAATGTTGCCAAGTATGGAAATTAAATTGCAAAACCAATCTTCTTCCCGAGTATTGAATGACAAAGAGGTTCGAAATCATCTTTTGAATATCACTAAAAGTATCCAAATGAAAAATTCTCATTTTGAAGTTATTTAGAGTAGTCTATATACCTTGTAGTGTCCAGGTGGCTTAACTTCTATCTGGATACAGGAGTATCAGGAAACTACACAGAAGAAGGGTTCAAACCCTTTATTAACTCTTTAAAATTTACACTGCGTCAACTCGACGCTGACAAACTTCCCCTCTATTTGGTTGGTAACTGAACAGCAGATAATTGAAAATCAAAAGTTGAAATGTTTAACAAGTACTAAACTAACCTATAGGTCTCAGCGAGATACCGAACTTCGACCCCCTCTATAACTAGTGACAGCAGATAAATGCATTTAAGTCACTTGAACCAGCAATCAGCAATTGTTTTTTCAAGTTAAATGTTTTTCAAAGAAATATTATTGTCTAAAATAGTTTGCAAAACATTTTCGCGAAAATTATTTGTATAATATCTTTAATAACATTATCCTTTTAAGGTCACCCGAGAAGCTCCTTGGTCCTGATATCCAAACTATTAATATCCACCGAGGAAGAGATCATGGTATGCCACCATACATTCAGTTGTTAGCATATTGCACAGATAACGAAATTAATGTGAGGACATTCGAAGATCTCAATCAAGTAATGCTCCCCGAGGACGTAAACTTGCTGAAACACCATTACAAGTAAGATTTACGGAAGTTATTATAAACATTTATAAACTCTGAAACACAATCTCTCAAACAAATTCCTGAAATGTATCTAGAAATGTTTTCTGCTTCCAGAAATGCAAAGATTATTTGCCTATTTTTGGAAGGATTTTAATTAATCATACAATTGAAATAAACGAAAATAAACAAGCCATAAAAGGTAGTTGGCTACAGCTTTTAAACTGAGGAATAAATTAACCATCTACTTCAATAAAAATATTGATTATATTTTTTACTTGTATATTTTATTTATATTTATAATTTTTCTATTTTTATAATATTTTTTTTTTATATTTATTTATATTAATATCATTTAGAATATTTATAATTTATATTATAAATTTGATTTAATTTAGCCAAAATCACGCATGAAAACAAATATTTGACAGAAAGATACAATTTTTTTCTTCTGTCTGCAGAATGTTCTCATTTCTTAGTACAAAACGGAACAGGAAATAAAGGAATTACGAATATCTGAGGATACGATGTAGCAATGGTCTCAAATTGCACGAGGGACGAATTCGCGACCAAAAGCAACGAACGGGTCGGAGTTTGATTTTTTTTCCAACCAAATAAACTTAAATTGCAAACTAGATTTTAACTAAATTTTAACTTAATTTTAAATTTCATTTGCCAAATGTTTTTCCGAATGTTTTCCGAAATGTTTGCGAATTTCGTACATATATAAATAATTTTAGTGAAATTACATGTGAAACTGCAGTTTCCCCCCCCCCCTGTATAATATAAACACGAAAATCTAAAGAAGCGAAGCTTTGCCGAAAAAATAAGAATACAGGGGCAAGTCTATTTAACATTGAGTAAATGGCAGTCTCGCTAAATTGGCGAGATATTGCCCAGCTGGTAACAGTTTTGACGACTAATTTTTGTCACCAAACCTGGCGACGATTTGGCGACATTTAGATCTGGTTACTGTATAACCGCAATAATAATGTTACGAATTTTGTACATATATAAACACTTTTAGTGAACTTATATGTGAAACTGTAGTTATTATTATTATTATTTTCTTTTTTGTATAATGTAAACATGAAAATCTAAACAAGCGAAGCTTTGCAGAAAAAATAAGAATACAAGGGTAAGTTTACTTAACATTGAGTAAATGGCAATCTCGCTAAACTGGCGAGATATTGCCCAGCTGGCAACAGTTTTGGCAAATAATTTTTGTCGTCAAACTTGGCGACATTTAGATCCGGTCCCTGTATAACTGTAATTTGTATTGTAATTAACTGTAGTTGATCTTATATTTAACTGTTACAGTATCCGGCCCTCATATGCCTTCCAGTAATTTCGAGAAGGGAAAGATACTAGAGATTTCTCGGCGGTGTGGGAAGAACTATATACGACCAAGGAAAGCATCAGTATCAGAGTAGTTGTTATTCACAGCTGAATTCGGACTGTTAAGATACTGCTCTGTGATACTAAGAAGAACTGCACAAGTATTTTTGAGGAAAATTCCAGAACTGTAAAGTGTTTCTTTTGGGAAAATAAATTTTATGAAACTATCATCGGTTCTGTGTACGTTCAATCCGTTACGAATCCGTACGCAAGGGATAATAATGACGCAAAATGAAAAAATCAAATTATAGTACTTATTTCTTGTTTTTGAGGAAATAACTGTAAGAAGTATCTATTTCTTTGCAATTCAAAGGTGCTAAGGGCTAAACAATAAATTGTTGGACCGTTGTATATATCAAATAAATCTAATACGTCAAATTAGCCGCAAAGGAACTTGCTTTTAACATAAACTAAAAATAAATACATTTCGAAATTCTTTCAAATTTTCAGACAAACCTTCCGAGCAGAACAAAACTTGAGAATGAATAATGACAACCTCTTCTCTTTCTTTTCTTAATTATATTTTTTGTTTGATATATTGTTGCCTGCGTACGGATTCGTAAGAAATTGAATGCACAAATTTGATGAAAAGTTAATAAAATTTATTCTTATCACAACCAATAAAACAAAATGCTGAAATTTTTCCTCACAGATATTCGTAGAACATCACAATATCACACAGCAGTTATATTTTAACTACTAAAACGTTAAATAGAACACAACTCAAAACGCAGAGAAAGCTAATCCGATCTCAGAATTACAGCGGCTAAGTATACAACAATAACTTAGTAAACAACTGAACTGAGATGTTTTTATCCGGCTTTTATAAGCTTTTTAATCAATTACGAGAAGCTTCTCGTAATTTCTCGAAATTTCTGGAAAGCGAAAGAGTCGAATTACAGTTACAGCGAACACGCAATTGCATTATTTCAATTTAAATATAAATTACGAAATATATATTTATTAAATGCGCGTGTTCCTGTATTTTTACGTTTTCGGCGTTTCTCTTAAAACTCGTCACGCCCTGCATTACACAGGGAAAGAAAACATTTTAATTTCAATTCTACTAAAAATAGCAAATTAAATACGAAATACCGCAACAATATGCTAAAAAAAAAAAGGCTTGCGCCAAGCTAGCTTTGTACTCGAATGTAACGACTGCTTTAATACATGCTAGTGCTTTTCTATTATCCTAATAAGTACTATATTGCACTGGTTTGGTTTATTAGATTGTGGCAAAGCACTCGAGGGCTATCTGCCTAAAGGGAGGGATGCCTTCGTGGAGGACTTTTTAAAGGAAACTGGCTCGTATACAAGTTACACATGGGGAAAACCACGAAAACACCCATGCAGCCAGCCCGTTCGCGGGATTCGAACCTCGGACCGAACTACCAGTGTTCAGCGACTCTATATTGCACTAAAGTTGCAATGAATTTTATACTTTACATAAATCTATAATCTCCGCATTTATAATAAATACATAATTAGAATATGGTTCGCGGGCGACATAAAATTGTTTCCTGTCAATTTGAGTTCAATGCAATAAACAGCATCATCCACAAAAAAAGAGAAGACACTGATAATAATTATTTCTGCAAGAAATAGAATGCTAAGTAATTAAATATAATACTTGAAACACTTTTTCAAAAGTAAAATGTATGGTTTTTAAAGAAACATTCACCAACTCAACGACCAATATGAATGGCTTTTAAAATATCTGTTACTACAGCGAATAAAGTAATAAACAAAGATTTAAACTTAAAAAAGAGTAAAGATGAAAATTGCATTGATATTATTTTATAACTGTCTTCAAAGACATGCGGCAGAGTGTAAGATGAGAGGAAGAGCTCTTTACGAAAGTCATTTATGAATGCGAAGTCATACGAAAGTCAGTATGCGAAATGAAAATTTGTCATGCCTGTAGAGTGACGCATTCCTTCATTCGATTATATGGAACCGATAGCGAGAAATTTATTAACGTAAAATATGAGAAAACGTCTTGAAAATTTGAATTCAAGAATTTAAAAAAAGTTTCAATATAAATTCAGATCGTAGCAGCAGTTCAATATATTTTGTGCTTATAGACGGTTTCTCATACAACCGAAAACTAGAGTTAAGAAGAGTGCTAATTAAATGGGAAAATAACATATTTAGTGTTATTTAAACAGCATTTTGTTCCCATATTGAAATATCTCATGTGAACAAACACCACATGACTTCCTTGTACGGCCTTATTTAATCTCATTTCTTAGCAAGGCAAAACTGTATAAAAACTCGAAACATCTTCATCAAAAATTGTAAAATACAGAAAAAGCTAAAACACCAGTCACAGTTAAAACTTTTGCCATTAAAATTAAACTTTCTACGCGAAGCAAGCAATCCGACCAACGGTCAGAAAACCAAATTCCTGGTGCACAAAATTGAAAGTTTACTTTTTGATCCAGTCGGGAAAAAGACACTGAAAGTTGGTGCACCAACTGACTTAACAGACTCCTCTACTAAGAGTTTCAAACGCAAACAAATGGCGACCTCGTTAAGCCTAGCTCCACTTTAACTTTCAAACTGTTGATAATTCTGCAACTATTTTCATGCAGGTTAACTAAAGGCATAAAAACTTTAATCGGAACATAATTCAACGAATTTTAAAGAAAACAAATGCGCAATTTACCAATATATAAGAATAAAAATTCTGATTCACCGAGTCGTGTTACAGGGTGAGAATATATGTATATATATATATTTTCTTAATTGTCCTACTACTAAAAATTGTCTTATTTCTCATTTTTGGATTATGCTATTATATATACATTCTGTCACAAAAATATATGCACCTAGAAGGAAATGACCTACTATCACGAAACTTCATATAAGATGAGTATGAGGAGATAAACAAATTATTACAATTTGGGAACAAAAGTATGTTTTATTAAGAAATTTTGTCATGAAAAAGGTTACAAATCAGTAAGTAGTATAGCCACTTCTGGCAGCTATGTAAGCCGAAACACGGCATGGAATCGTATCGAGTAGGTCACCAATGACACCCTGCGGAAGATCATGTCATAATCTTTGCAATTGGGCAGTTAATTCACCAATATTCGAGAACGTCTGCAGTTGCCTTCTAAGCATGTCCCAAATGTTCTCTATTGGTGAGAGGTTTGATGACCTGGCAGGCTACGGGAGTACGTCATATCCTTGAAGCCATTTTAGGGAGAGTCGGGCAGTATGGAGACGAGCGTCGTGTTGCTGATAAATCGCATCTAGGCGACCTGATCATAGGCAGTACAACCGGAGTTAAAATGTCTCCCATCAACTGCGAGTCTTCTGGAAGATGACTAGAAGTGATCGTGTGTTTGTTACATGTATGCGTTGGTCATCAGCATTGAGAGTGAATCGGGATTCATCGTTGAAGATCACATACCTCCATTTGGCCACACTTCCAGCTTGCCCGAGTTCTGCAAAACTCGAATCGACACTGCCTTTGATATAAGGTCAGTGGTAGGCGTTTTAATGGACGTCGGCAGCATATATCAATATCGACCTGTCGTCTCCGAATGGTTTCCCTTGATACCACTGGATGGCTGGGAGGTGGTAAATATCGAATCAATGCTAGCGACATTGTTGGTACGGAAGCGGCCGCTCTTATAGTTGAGCGATCCTCGCTCTCATTTGTGTTCTTGGGACGCCCTGATCCACCACGATGTAGACCATCCCTTTCATGATTCAATGTTGCCAACACCAAGCATCTACTATATCGCTTCAACCGAGGTGACGGCCGATACGCCTGTTCGACCAACCCGTTTCTCTAAGGCCTACTATATGCTCAAGCCTGAAAACTGTTTGTATTGCCATTCGTTATGTCTCAGAGCTAAATCTAGTCACAATACTTTCCATCCAAGTCGACAAATTAACTTCAATAGCCTCCTGCACGAGCAATCATGCTTTTAAATACTCCCAGCTGTCCATCTCATATGCGCCCAGCGCGCTTACTCTTGTTTCATTGAAGTCAAAATTTAAATCATTCATTTAAATCTTTTACCAGAATTCATTCCTGTCAAGTTCCGTGATTGTGGCTCGATTTCTTCTGGATGCATATATTTTTTTATGACAGAGTGTATATATATATATGATTGGTGCGGGTGATTGCAATAAAAAGGGAGAAAAACAACTACGTGTTATAGCGGTCTCATATACAATATTTCAACAATCTGCGGCTATTCGTTTTTGAGTTATGGGACATGCATACGTACATACGTACGTACAAAATGTCACCAGAAAAAAAAATCCCTTCTGAATCCATTTTTAAATCCATTTTACAATCCATTTTGACAAAAAGAATCCGTTCTGTCCGTACGTACAGAAGTCGAGCAAAAAATTATTCAAGAGCGGTCAAATTGAGTACATATTTTTTTGAAATATGATACCCGAAATTTTCACGTTTATAGTACTTCCTATACTCCGTACAAGGAAGTAAAAATGAATTCCTGCTTGTTCATCGATACAAAGCAAAATAACTGCAAACACAGAGCTGAGATTGCGAAATCTGTTCCGCCCATGAGAGTGACACAGGATTTTGTATAAGATTCGAGACATTGATTGAAGATGGTAATCTAAACTCGTTAATAAAATTCCTGGAAATGTTCCAAACGATAAGTTACTGTTAGAGTTCTAGCCCTTATGACAGAAGTGATGTTCGGACGTTCGGAGTGATGTTCTGCAGTTGTATATATTATAATATATAGTATTATAATAAGTATTTGCGTTGCAATTGTTGTAATAATATAATAAGTATTTGTGTTGCAATTGTTGTAGTATTATAATAAGCTTTTGTGTTGCACACTTTAATAATTCTTGTCTGATTATAAGAAATGTCTCACTTGAACGATCTGTTTCTAACGAATGAACTTATGCAGAGATGAATGTGTCTGTGAAAGACTGGGTTTTACATTTATTGGGATTTTTCTTTAAAAATAGATTTGTGATAGAAAGCTGTGATATATGCTTGTATTTTAGGGATGTGGCCGATATCGATCTGATTATAGGACTTCAGATGGAGTATAACGACGATACTTCAGTACTGCCACCCACAGGATCTTGTATAAGCGGAATTCAGTTCAGAAACCTCAAAGAAGGAGACAGATTCTTCTTTGCTCATATGGGTCTTCCAAATTCATTTAGCAGAGGTGAGTCAAAAATGCAGTATTAATCTAATGAAATAAAATATTCTTCGGTACTTACGTATTATCGCAGCCAGTTGGCGCAGTTTGGCGAATTTTACGAAAGAACAAAAATAATTACTTTTAGTGTACAAAATGCCTATTATATGCATTACGTTTCAACTGTATATTTATCCCCGCCCCCCACGAAAAAAAAAAAAAAAAAAATCCGTAAATGCAGTTACAAACGGGTTTCTGTTGTGATGAAAATTTCTTATAATAGCCTTGAAAAAGGATACGAAGGATTATTTTTTTAGCGATTTTTCGCAAAATACTGTATTTCTGCAAAAGATTTACCTCTGGTTTCTCCATCATAGGAAAATCGAGTTAACAAAAAAGTAATCATAATTTTCTTGTAAAATGCTTTGGAGCTTGGAATACAACAAAAAGTATGTATACAAAAATGGCGAGAATGGAAACTGGATAATCCTTGCACGTATGGTTGCTTAAATAATTATTATGTGCCTGATTACCAGAGTTTGACTTATTCTGAAACTTTGTCGATTTTTAGTAAGGTAGTTGCGATAATACGGAAAGTACCGATTCTTGTTAAAACAGTTGAATTATTTTGAATATTGTTTGTATGTAAATTATAATTTCCAGTTACAAATATCACTAAAATTACCTTTTAATACCAGCATATACTAGGTGTATTCACGGAAAGCAGCGTCAAGAAATCTTTATTTGACGCCACGTTACTGTGTCTAATTTACATGGCTTGGCGGAGAGACCTCTAGAATAGGAAGTGGAAATAACAAAGATAACAGATCTACAATGTGCATTTTATTGCAGAAAAAACTAGAGCATAATGAGCATTTGTCTTCATCAACTAGTATTACTAGAGCATTTGTCCTCACCAACTGGCATAATTAGTGTATTTGTCTTCACGAACTCGGAATTGATTATTTTAGGTTTGCTAAGTCGGACGCTGTGTCCATGCTATCACTTAAGGTATCAGTTTACTTTAAAAATAATAGCATCGAAATATTTACCTTATTTAATATGCGTTGCTTGACTTAACATTGAAGTTTCACAAAACTCCATTTATCTCTGAGATTTTAGTAACATTTTCTTCAGGTTTCCATAAATGCGTTTGAGATCTGTGGTTTGCACTGAGAAAATTTGCCTGTCAGATATTCCCAGAATAAGAAAGCAGAAATTGCAGGATAGGT